GCGCATGCACATACACACACATACACATTCAGCATTTAATAATTCAATCTGTAAACTGGATGTAGCCCACATCAACACCAACACCCAGATTCAGTATCAATATTAATAGGAATATTAATTACACACGTTGACTCACATACCAAACCTGCCACTTCCCTCAGACACACGTTGCTCTGTATCCTCCTGAGTGGTGATGGGGGAGGTAAGCAAGGTCTCCTCGGAGCTGAACTGGCTCCAAGGTGACATGTTTGGCAACAGAATGTCAGAATCGAGTTTACCTTCTGTGATGGTCTCTAGTCTGCTTCCTGAGCACACCCACAGTATTCCAGGGCACTGCTGATGATAGCACAGCCCTGCCTGGCTCATCGGCAGGATTAGGAAGGGCAGACCAGTCACTGGGTGCAGAGGGCACACTCTCACTCAGCTCCTGTTAACCCAAGCCAATGCTCTAATGGGCCGAGCTGGACAAGCAGCGGGAAAGCTTGCCAGTCAGTGTTCTCAATGGCACGTGATGCGGTTTTAGCTGGTTAGAGTCCATCAGTTACCACAACACACGCTCTGTAGTCCCCAAGCCTTGGCTCTTGCCAACCTGTGCCTCGTACTTTCCAGAATTAGGTAAGTAGGATGTGTCCCTCCAGGGAAAGAGTGAGCATCCATTCGATAAGTATCTTGGGAATTTCCAGATGGGATGCATGAAATTCTCAGTTCGGTTTGGCTGCTCTTAAGCGTAGTGATGGGTTTCTCCCTGTGTTGACTGACAGACACAAGGTGCTCAATGAAAGGCTATTGAAGCTGATATGGCAACAGCTCTTTGAAAGCTGAACAATGCCATCGACACCTCCACGTTAACTTGTCTCATTCTTACCCAGCTCAGTGTCTGGTTTCCAATTGTAAATGTATATTTATTACGCAGGCGAACGCAGTAGCCAGTCAGGACACAGCAGTGTCCCACAAACAGCCGGGGAGTGAGTGACCTATTTTATTTGGGGGATCGTTGGCCAGGACACAAGTTAGAGAGAAACACCCTTCTCTTTTCAAGTAATGTCACAGAATCTTGGAGACCTGTAGCTCAGTGGTTAGACACTCGCCTCGCAAGCGAGTGACCTGGGTTCGATTCCCAGCAGGGCGAAATGTTGGGCAAATTTCCTTACCCCACACACACCTTTGTTTATCTAGCAGTAAGTAGGAACTTGGTTATTAGTTGATTGAATGATAGCTTTTCCAGAGGTAATAATTCCTTCAAAAATATAATAATAAGGAATGGGTCACTTCAATCCACAACTGTTTGTGGGACACTGCTGTGCGTAATTGGCTGCCGCGTTTCGCCCACAAAATATACAGTCAATTCATTTTACAGTATATTCTGTGAAGCGCTTTGAGACATCCAGAAGACGTGAAAAGCACTATATCAAATGCAAGGATTAAACAACCCGCTGTGTGCTGTGTGCCCGTTAGTGAAGCAGCTCACAGGGCCAGTGCCCAGCCTCGCGGTTTTTGTCACACAATACTGAGCGTTCACAGCCTGGACTGGCAACAGGGGAGCACCTGGTCTGAGAGGGCAGACCAGCTCCCAACTACCCCCTTACCACTCCCCAACCAGCCCTCTAACTACCCCTCAACCAGCCCCCAACCAGGCCTAACCACCCCATAACCGGCCCTTAATCAGCCCTAACCACCCACCAACCAGCCCCTAACCAACCACTAACCAGACACTGCCAACCTCACCTTCTACATTATGACAATCTCTTCACACTTCACTCTCATTGCACCCTACACACCGAGAGGGGAGCCAGGGTCCATGTGCGCGTGTGTGTAAGTGTGTGTGTGTCTGTGAGAATGTGTGTGTGTGTGTGTAAGTTTGCCTGTTGGTGGTGTGGCTGGTCACACTGGGCTGGGTGACTGTGCTGGGTTGTGAGGGGCTGGGATCCCAGAGTAAGACTCAGCCCCTCTCCTACAGCAGCGAACACAGCACCATCTGCACACACAGGCAGCCTGGCAAACACACACACACAGACAGCCTGGCAAACACACACACACACAGGCAGCCTGGCAAACACACACGCACAGGCAGCCTGGCAAACACACACACACAGGCAGCCTGGCAAACACACACGCACACAGGCAGCCTGGCAAACACACACACACACACACACACACACACAGGCAGCCTGGCAAACACAAACGCACAGGCAGCCCGGCAATCACACACACACACACACACACACACAGGCAGCCTGGCAAACACACGCACACACACAGGCAGCCTGGCAAACACACACACACACACAGGCAGCCTGGCAAACACACACGCACAGGCAGCCTGGCAAACACACACACACACACAGGCAGCCTGGCAAACACACACACAGGCAGCCCGGCAATCACACACACACACACAACACACAGGCAGCCTGGCAAACACACACACACAGGCAGTCTGGCAAACACACACACAGGCAGCCTGGCAAACACACACACAGGGAGCCTGGCACCCACCCACTCCCAACACGCACACACATACACACACATATACCCACACAGGCAGCCTGGCAAACACACACACAGGGAGTCTGGCACCGCCACCCCCAACACACACACACACACACACGACAGCTCACACCACCACACGCGCGCACACACACTGTGAGCTCGAAGTCCCTGACGTGGGACTCATAAACCCACAAACTGCAGATTCCGAGGCAAGAGAGCGAGCGACTGAGCCGGGCTGAGAGCATGGCTCAGTGGAGAATTCTAATGAGGATGTGCGGAGGAAGAGAGGGGGATGGGGGGGGGGGTGGTGGTGGAGGGTAAAGTGGGTAGTTATTGGCTGTGAGTGGGAAATGAACGCATTATCATTTCAGACTTGCCGCTGAATGAACAAGGACACTGAAAGCGTTGATTGCAGGAAGAGATGAGAGGGACAGAGAGTGTGACTGTCACAGATGGGGTGACTTCACTGCACTGTGCTGATCTGGGCAGAGGCCAGAGTTGGGAGATGTGGGCATTGGGAACCCACACACAGCACCATCACTCCCTCACACACACAGCACCATCACTCCCTCACACACACAGCACCATCACTCCCTCACACACACAGCACCATCACTCCCTCTCACACACAGCACCAACACTCCCTCACAGGGCACTGGGCTGGCAACAGCAGGCACCAAGGTTAATAATAAACCTTATGTTCAGTAGCGTCACATCAGGACGTCTCAAAACGCTACAAAGGGCACACTGTGCAGTGGAGGGCAGGCATGCGCGGCAACTTTCTAGTTAGTATGACTGACGCTCGCTCTACCTCTCTCTCTGGTTAGCGTGGCTGACGCTCTCACTTTCTCTCTCTCTCGCAGACGGTTGAAGTTGACGGAATATTTACCCACCATCCTCTCCAGTCTGGTTTGGCCAGAGATTCGGCAAATTCGGTGAGTGTGAGAGGCCTCGTGAGTGTGACTGTGAGTGAGTGTGACTGTGAGTGAGTGTGAATGTCAGTGAGTGTGAATGTCAGTGAGGGTGACTGTCAGTGAGTGTGACGATCAGTGGGTGTGACTGAGTGAGTGTGATCGACTGAGTGATTGTGACTGTTAGTGAGTGTGACTGTCAGTGAATGTGACTATCAGTGAGTGTGACTGTCAGTGAGTGTGACTGGCAGTGAGTATGACTGTTAGTGAGTGTGACTGTCAGTTAATGTGACTATCAGTGAGTGTGATTGTCAGTGAGTGTGACTGGCAGTGAGTATGACCGTCAGTGAGTGTGACTGAGTGAGTATGACTGTCAGTGAGTGTGACTGAGTGAGTGTGACTATCAGTGAGTGTGACTGTCAGTGAGTGTGACAATCAGTGGGTGTGACTGAGTGAGTGTGATCGACTGAGTGTGACTGTCAGTGAGTGTGACTATCAGTGAGTGTGATTGTCAGTGAGTGTGACTATCAGTGAGTGTGACTGAGTGAGTGTGACTATCAGCAAGTGTGACTATCAGTGAGTGTGATTGTCAGTGAGTGTGATTGTCAGTGAGTGTGATTGTCAGTGAGTGTGATTGTCAGTGAGTGTGACTGAGTGAGTGTGACGATCAACAAGTGTGACTGTCAGTGGAGTGTGGTGATCAGTGAGTGTGACTGTCGGTGAGTGTGACTGTCAGTGAGTGTGACTGTCGGTGAGTGTGACTGTCGGTGAGTGTGACTGTCGGTGAGTGTGACTGTCGGTGAGTGTGACTGTCGGTGAGTGTGATCGTCATTAAGCCCTCGTGAGTGTGATGTATCTTTGTACAAGCCTCGCGGTTCAAACACCTCAGATGTGGCTTGAACATCTTCGAACTTACTGCCTCTCCCTCTCACAGGCTCAAACCACATTAATTTGTGGGTGAAGCGCGGCAGCCAATTGCGCACAGCAATGTCCCACAAACAGCCATGGAGTGAGTGAGCAATTTTATTTATTTTGGGGGATTGTTGGCCAAGACATTGGGAGAAAATGGAAGGATTATTATGTAGTCCTGTAGTGTAGTGGTTAGCGCCAAGTGAGAGAACCCGGTTTCGATTCCCGGGGGGTGGTGAGGTGGGGGCAAAACCTTAGGCAAGTTTCCTAACTCCACACTCCTCTGTTTACCCAGCAGAATGCAGGAACCCGGTTGTTAGTCGATTGCCGGCTCACTTTTCCAGGGGTAATAATCCCTCAACAACAACACAAAACCTGGTTACTCAATCCACGACTGTTTGTGGGACACTGCTGTGCGCAATCGGCTGCCGCGTTTTGCCCACAATGTACACAGTCAATCCACTTTATAATATGTCCCGTGAAGCTCTTTGAGACTTCTCAACGATGTGATAAAGCGCTACATCAAATGCAAGGATTTTCCTTATTATTATTATTATTATTATTATTATTATTAACAGCTCCTTTTCACACACTGAGGTTGATGTCGGCACTAACAGCTTGTTTTGTTGCTGTGTCTTTTTGCAGCTGTGAGCCAGGAGGTGAGGATCGTGCGTGCGCGTGTATGTGGCCATGCTGCTCTGGCTGCCCGCGCTGACTCTCAGCCTGGTGCTGGAGGCCGCACAGGCCCGGACCCCAGCCCCGGCCCGGCCCCCCGTGAGGACTCACCGGCGGAGGCGGGAGGAGCCCAAGAGCCACAGCTACCAAATTAACCAGACGGTGACCGCCCGCCAGCCCGCCCTCGTCTTCAACCACGTCTACAACATCAACGTGCCTCTGGCGGCTCTGTGCTCGGTCACCACTGACACCTCAACCGGCCCCTCGCCGGCAGACACCGAGGACGCCTACTACGCGGCGGAGACCAAAGACCCCGACTCGGACATCACCTTCACCCACCACATCAACATCCCACATCGCGCCTGTGGCTGCCCGGACACCCCCAGCCTCCAGCACCTCCTCATCCGCCTCCAACTCCTCGAGCAGGAGGTCTCCCAGCTCCGCCAGCACTGCGGCTCAGGCTGCTGTGGACCTAGCCAAGCCTCAGGTACACAGCCTCTGGTACACAGCCTCTGGTACACAGCCTCTGGTACACAGCCTCTGGTACACAGCCTCAGGTACGCAGCCTCAGGTACACAGCCTCAGGTACACAGCCTCTGGTACACAGCCTCAGGTACACAGCCTCTGGTACACAGCCTCTGGTACACAGCCTCAGAAACACAGCCTCAGGTACACAGCCTCAGGTACATAGCCCCTGGTACACAGCCTCTGGTACACAGCTTCAGATACAGTCTCAGGTACACAGCCTCAGGTACACAGTCTCTGGTACACAGCCTCTGGTACACAGCCTCAGGTACACAGCCTCAGGTACACAGCCTCTGGTACACAGCCTCAGATACACAGTCTCAGGTAGATGGGCCCAAGGCTGAGCCTCTCTGAGTCGCTCTCTCTGTCTCTCGCTTGTATTTCTCTCAATCTTTCTAACTGTCTCAATCTCTCTCTCCCTTTCTCTCACTCGCTCTCTCGCTGTGTCGCTCTCTCTGTCTGTTTGTCTCTCTCACTTCTCTCTCATTCTCTGTCTCTGGCTATGTGGCTGTCTGTGTCTCTCTCTCTCACTGTCTCTGGCAGGGTATGTGTGTATGTGTGTGCACGCATGTATGTGTGTCTCTCTGACTCTCACTCTCTGGCTCTGACTGTAGGTCAGACAGACTACATGCCCCTGTGCAGTGGACACGGGAACTTCAGCCTGGACACGTGTGGTTGTACGTGCGAGGATGGCTGGACGGGGAAGAACTGCTCTGAGCCCACATGTGCGGGGCGGTGCTCACAGGGAGGTACGTGCGTGGACGGAGAGTGCGTGTGCGACAATGAGCACACGGGCCCGGCGTGCAGCGAGACACGCTGTCCCAACGCCTGCAGTGCACACGGCATTTGCGTGGACGGGGAGTGCGTGTGCGAGGAGCCGTACAAAGGCGAAGATTGCGGGCGGCTCAAGTGCCCTAACCAGTGCTCAGGCCGCGGCTGGTGTGTGAACGACTCGTGTGTGTGTGAGGAGCGGTACACCGGGGAGGATTGCAGGCAGCCACGCTGTGTGACAGACTGCGGGCAATATGGTCACTGTCAGCACGGGCTCTGTGTCTGTCAGGACGGCTACACCGGAGAAGACTGCTCCGCAGGTAAAGTCACAGCCCGCACCACGTACCACACATGGCCCTCATGATCACTAACTCCACCATCATCATGATCACTGACTCCATCATCATTATCATCATCACTAACACCATCATCATCACCACTGTCACCACCATCACCACCATCGCCATTATCACTGTCATCACACACGAGCTCTGGCTGTTCGAACCCACCTCTTGTTTCAGCAATGAATCTCAGTGGAGTGAGGCTGCCAGTTGCAGGGAATCTACTGTCTCCCTGGTCTGACTGCTTCTGTGTGTCTTTGGCTCAGGTACACACTGGCGCGACTCGCCCTCGGGAGGATTTTAGTGACCTCAGTCCTGCCTCAGTCACTCATATTTTTGCTTCTGAGTCAGGAGGTTGTGGGTTCACGCTGGACACAGGGCTCTGAGCTCACTGTCTGGGACGACGCTCCAGTGCCTGTCAGAGGTTCGGTCCTTTGGATGAGACATGAAACTGAGCTGTCTGAGTCTGTCTGTTCAGGGGGAACATTAAAGATCCCGCGGCACTTTTGGAAAAGAGAAGCGAGTTTCTCTCCCGGTTTCCGGGCTGAAAATCCCCCTAATAAAATCGGTCAGACACTCTACGGTTGTTTGTGGTACATTGCTTTACAACTTGTGGAGTCCTGTAGCTCAGTGGTTAGAGCGCTCGCCTCGCAAGCAAAAGAAGTGGGTTCGATTCCCGGCAGGGTGAAACGTTGGGCAAGTTTCCTTACTCCACCTGCCTCTGTTTATCCAGGAATAAGTAGGAAGGAACCCGGTTGTTAGTCGATTGGCGGATCGCTTTTCCGGGGGTAATAATTCCTTCAAAAAAATAATAAATTGGTCACTTCAATCCGCGACTGTTTGTGGGACACTGCTGTGCGCAATTGGCTGCTGCGCTTTCCCCCCCCAAAATACAGTCAATTCACTTTACAGTATAAAAATAATCCTTGCATTTGATTTAATGCTTTTCACGACTTCAAGACGTCTCAAAGCGCTTCACAGAATATACTGTAAAGTGAATTGACTGTACATTTGTGGGCAAAATGCAGCAGCCAATCGCACGCAGCAGTGTCCCACAAACAGTCATGGATTGAATTTATTATTGTTTTTTTTCTTGAGGGATTATTATCAGGCGCGTGGAGTAAGGAAACTTGCCTAAGGTTTCACGCTGCCGGGAATCGAACCCAGGACTCTCGCTTGCAAGGCGAGCGCCCTAATCACTGAGCTACAGGACTCCACCACCACAACAAATTGCATTTCCAATTTTATGTGGGTGTTTGTTGGGCAGGACAGTGGGAGAGAGAAATTCCCTTCTCTATTTGAGTAGTACCATGGGACCTCTGGTGTCTGCCTGAACAGATAGGAATATCGGTGGGGTCGAAGGTTTATGTCAGACACCCTCCGGCTGACTTCTAAGTTATGTAACAGAACGAGGCTCCTCTCCCCTCTCCGGGCCAGTCAGGAAGCCCGAACTTGATTGATCCTAATGTAACAGATTGCCTCTGGTAATCCGTGCTGGAGCCCGGCCCGGCCCGGCCCCTGTTGCTCCCACAAGCGCAGTCTGGAACATGCAACGTCAGGAACGATTTGTTCAGTCATTAGGGAAACTCCAGGTCCCAAAGGCTGAGAAAGAGGTTTAACATCCGAGTGAGGTACGGGCAGATTGGAGGGTGGGCTCTGTCCAGGAAGCCAACTCGTGCCTGAGCACTTGGGGGACAGGGAAGAGGTAGCCCCCCCGGGGTGGACAGCGGGGAGGGCTGAGGAGCTACCTCTTTTCTTTTCCCCCAAGTGCTCAAGCTCGAGTTGGCTTGTTAGCAATAATAAGCTCTGAAGCTCGCTCAGCCCTGACAGGAAACGGGGTTGGCAGATGCACAGACTGAATCTCACCACAGGACGTGCTGTAATAAGGGCTGGGGTTGGGGTTGGGGCTAGGCTGGGGGTAGGGTTGGGATGGGACCCAGTTGTAGTAGTTGATGGGCAGATCACTTTCCAAGGGTAATAATCCCCTTGAATAATAATAATTTGGTCACTCAATCCACGACTGTTTGTGGGACGCTGCTGTGCACGATCGGCTGATGTGCTTCATCCACAAAATATACAGTCAATTCACTTTACAATATATTCTGTGAAGCCCTTTGAGACGTCTCGAAGACGTGATAAGGCGCTATATCAAATGCAAGGATTATTATAAATACATCGCTCTGCAACACACACCAGCCCAGCATCTCTCTGCCTGTAGCCTGTGTAACCCACTGCCTCTGTGTCTCCAGTTGTGCCCCCGAAGGCAGTGCGAGTGAGTGGAGTGACTGACCGCACCATTGAGCTGGCGTGGGAGGGCCCCCTGGTGGTGAACGAGTACCTGATCACCTACACGCCAGCGATGGTGGGAGGGGTGCAGCTGGAGGTGCGGGTGCCGGGAGACTGGACGGCAGCCACCATCACACAGCTGGAGCCGGGCATGGAGTATAAGCTGAACGTGTATGCCGTGCTCAACAACAAGCTGAGCGTGCCTGTCAACGCCCGCGTCGCCACCCGTGAGTAACCGTCTGCCTGACCGTCTCCAGTGGTAACCAGGAAACAGGCTCACAGCGCTCAGTGAAGGGCTGACACACCTCTCGCCTGGCTCTGGGCAGGACTCTGGGCACAGTGTGGGCAGAAAGGGTAGGGCTGTAGGCACACTGTGGGCAGACTCCAGTGGGGACTGTCCAATGATGGAGAGGGTACAATGAAAGGCGAGTGAACCAATCCATGGGATTGGGCGTCAGAGCTCAGCCAGTGACAAGGAGACATCCGTCAGTGCCTCTACCATAGCCCCTCGGTGGGACAATCATCTGATCATCTTCAACCCTCTCCCTCGTCCTCACCTGTTCTCTTCACACAGATCTCTCGACCCCGGAGGGTCTTCGCTTTAAATCCATCACAGAGACGGCAGTGGAGGTGCAGTGGGAGCCCTTCCAGTTCCCCTTTGATGGCTGGGAAATCAGTTTTATTCCGAAGGTGAGCTCACAAACAACGGCATTCCATGTCCTAATCCCCATCCCAATCCCTGTCCCAATCCCTGTCCCAATCCCTGTCCCAGTCGCATTCCCAGTCCCCATCCCAATCCCTGTCCCAATCCCCATCCACAATTTGTCTTGACTCTCGGCCAGACTGTATCTCCCCTGTTTGACACTCTCTCTTTGTTTCTGTGTGTGTGCGTGTATGTGTGTGGCGTGTGTGTGTCTCTGTCCCTCTGCGTCTGTTTCTCTGTGTCTGTGCCTCTCAGAGTAATGAGGGCGGGATGATAGCTCAGTTGCCGAGCAGTGTCACGGTGTTTAACCAGACGGGGCTGAAGGCGGGTGAGGAGTACACCGTCAGCCTGGTCGCACTGAAGGAGCAGAGCCGCAGCTCACCGGCCTCTGGGACCCTTGCCACCAGTGAGTGTCGCAGCGGGGGCGGGGGGGGGTGGGGGTGGGGGGCCGGGTGGGAGCGGGGAGCGCTGTGCGTGGGAGGGGGGGCGCTGTGCCGTGGGAGGTGCGCTGTGCGGAGGAGGGTGGGTTTCCGTGCGTGTCAGACACCCGGCTGATCACGGTGACGGGTTTCCCGGTGACGGGCGTCAGAAACACGGTGACCAGATCGAGGAGAAGAAATGAACACGCAGCACCCTCCACTGGCCACACTGAGATCTGACTCGCACACAGAGTGAGAACTCACACTCCCCCACTCTTGTTCTCTCAGACTATTCTTCCTAAAATTTCAGTTCGAAACATTACCGGACAAAGGGTCGATTTATTTCTCAATTCGGAATCTGTTTCTTTTTTAACAACTGCGGAAACTTTCTTCGAAATCTGGATTTTGATTAACAAATTTTTATAGGATTCCGTCTGATCTGAGTCCCATTCTGTGCCGAGGGGCTGGGGCGGGGCGGGGCTGGGGTGGGCTTGGGGAGCGGGGGGTGTCAGGCAGTGCTGGGACGTGAGCTTATCGGTGAATTAATGGAGAACAGCTTAGACGCTTCTGATCTCAGTCGGGTTGGGAGCGGTGACGAGATGACTAATTGTGCAGATTAATTGGCTGTGTTAATGAGCTGCGTTAATGCTCGCTAATGAGAGCAGGACAGCATGTCATTGCAGGGGAAGTAGCCCAACCACGAGCAACCGGAGGAAACCAGATGTTTGCAGCACAGAAGGAGGCTATTCGGCTAATCGAGCCTAATCGAGCTTGCCCCAGCTCTCAGAGCGAGCTGTCCATTCAGTCCAACTGTCCTGCCCTCTCTCCATCCCCCTTCAAGCCTCTATCCTTGTCTACCCATCCACATCCTCATAGAATCCAGTAGCGTACAGGTTAGAGCACTCGCTTCAAGAGCGAGAGGACCCGGGTTCAATTTCCGGGTGCAGTAAGTAATCCACGGCTGTTTGTGGGACACTGCTGTGCGCAACATTACGCCGCATTTCGGCCACAAAATATACAGTCAATCCACTTTACAATGTACTCTGTGAAGCACTTTGACCACGTCTCAACGACGTGATAGATCAACTGCAAGGATTATTATTATAATAGGCAATTTAGTTTGGTGGTGGGTACCTGAGTATAAACCCCTGATTATCATGAGCTTCTATCATTTTGAGGATTAAACACACAGATGATAGCGCTCCCACATTCAGCAACAATCTACAGGAACTTCACCTCTCACATCTCACAGCTGCCCGGGAGCCTGAGCGGGCAGGAGAGGAGGAGGAGTACTGTTAGGAGGGGGAACGTAACTAAAAGAACAGTGGAAGGGATTGGTATTTAGGTGGATTTTTAAAGGTGAAAAGGGGGTGAGTGAGGCAAGGAGTAGGAGTGGCCGGGTTTGTTGGGTTTAAGAAGGTGGCAGAAGTAGGGAGAAGCAAGACTGTGGAAGGATTTAAAAGTGAGGACAAGGATCCTGAATTGGATCCTCTGGGGAATGGGGAGCCAGTGGAAAACCAACAATAGAGTTTAATTTTTACCAATGGTTACTTCACCGGGAGGGAAACAGGAGCCAAGAGTAATCCCATCGGTTCAGTTTGCACCCACTGTAGAGCAAGCATCATTCTGTCTGTAACCTTGGCTTGCAAGACGGACAGTGTAGAGGGAACTTTACTTTGTCTCTAACTTGGGAGTGAGGACGGAGAGTGTAGAGGGAGCTTTACTCTGTCTCTAACCCTAACCTGGGAGTGAGGACGGAGAGTGTAGAGGGAGCTTTACTCTGTCTCTAACCCGTGCTATTACTGACCTGGGAGCGTGGACGGAGAGTGTGCGGTGAGTTGAAAGAAGTAGAATGCTATACTGTGCAAGGGTTTGCTTGTGTGAGACGTGGTTGGTGTCACAGCGAGTTCCTGTTCTGTGCCTTCCAGTGATTGATGGGCCGAATCAAGTGACGGTGAGGGAGGTAGCGGACACCTTTGCGTTTGTGGAATGGTCTCCCCCGCGGGCGCACGTGGAGCACATTGTGCTGACCTACGGTCCGGTCAGCGGCTCAAGCCCAGCGACCAGCCTGACGCTGCAGCCCTCCCTCAGCCAGTACTCCCTGCAGAGCCTGCGGCCCGGCACCACCTACCAGGTGTCAGTCAGCGGAGTCCGGGAGCACGGGCAGAGCAAACCCGTGTCCACCCTCTTCCAAACAGGTGCGTGGAGGTGTGCCTACACGCATATCGATGCACAAGGACACGTCTGTGTATGGTCACATTAGATGCGCTTCATGCATCTAACCCTCAATCTCCCAGAGCGACAGGACACAAGCACGTGTGTGATACAGGCGGTCAGTGTGTGAGCGACACAGGCGGTCAAGTGTGTGAGCGACACAGGCGGTCAAGTGTGTGAGCGACACAGGCGGTCAGTGTGTGAGCGACACAGGCGGTCAGTGTGTGAGCGACACAGGCGGTCAGTGTCCAAGTCCTTTTCAATTTCCTATTAAATCCATTTAAGTGTATCTCCACCAGTCATACTAACAACCGCGTAACTCGTAACACCACTACTGCACTTGCCATTACCGAGCTTACCGGCTGTTTCCCGCACCTGCCTCCAACAGACACCACACATTCACACCCCAACACGTCTCAACAACGTCATTGCATACAGCAGCAAAGGTAGGTGGGTTGGGGGGGGAGGGTGGGCAGATCGCGTCATCTGATCATGTGGAGAGCAAAGGGGACCTGTCACCGTGTATTACAAATGGGAACTCTGCCCATTCATGCCAACAAGAACAACTTGCATTTATATAGCGCTCCTCACGCAGGGTAACTCTCGGAGCACTTGTCATGACTGGAGCACAGCCTCATGGCTACAAGAGCATTGCTGAACTGACGTACGCGCTCTCAGATTTCCTCCAAATGTTCCCTTTTACACCTGAGACAATTAAGTGGAGGCTTAGCATCCGCTTTCAACTCTTAAATAATTCACACACTTGTATCATCTCCCGCTACAAGAAAAAATTCGATAAAATCAGGGAAGGCTACAGGAACATTCAAATAAAACATTTCCAGATAATAAAACAGGTTGAGAAGTACATGAAAACGGTAGTTCCAGAAAATGAGGAAACCTTGAAACCATTTTGAAACCTTGCAGCACAGTGTTTACGTATTTGTTATGTGTAAGTCATATAAAATCTGACTTATAAATATATGATACAAGTTTGACATAACTTAAACTTAAATGTATGGTCCCAACGGACACGATGATGTGAGGTTCACTATAGTCTCTGTGTTTCATTCCTCAGACATTGATGCTCCTAAGAACCTGCGTGTGGCTGTGCCAGGGGATAGTGCGGTGCAGCTGGAGTGGGACAACAGTGATGCCGCGGTGGAGAAGTACCGAGTGGTGTACAGCACGCTGGCCGGAGGCCAATACCACGAGCTGCTCGTCCCCGAGAACTCCGGCCCCACCACACGGGTCACACTGACCGGTGAGAGCTCCACCGGCACGGCATGGGCAGGTCCAGCTCTCAGGCCGCCTCAGTCACTCATACTCCCCCTTCATCTCCCCCTCTATCTCCTCTCCATCTCCCCCTCCACATCCCTCTTCCCTCCTTTGTCCCCTCCGCTCCCTCTCAACCTCCCTCTCCCCTTCATCTCCACCCCTCTCTCCCCTCCATCTCCCCCTCCATCTCTCCCCCCTCTCTTTATCTCCATCTCCCCCCACACTTTGCCTCCCTGGGATTCCTCTCTATTACCAGTATAGACAGTCCCTCTCTGGGTCTCTAATTCTCTCTCTCTCTCGTACACTCAGACCTGTTACCAGGCACTGAATATGGAATCGGGATCTCGGCCATCAAAGACACGAGGCAGAGTGTGCCGGCCACCATCAACGCCAGGACTGGTAAGTTCACTGCGACGGTACTGTACAGTCAGACCGTTTGTGTGTGTGTGTGTGGGTGTTGCTGTACAGGCAGATGTGTCACTGTCACTGTGTGTCAGTGTGACGTATGTCAGTATGGCGTGTGTCAGTATGGCGTGTGTCAGTATGGCGTGTGTCCGGTGTGAACTCTCTTGCGACGCAGTGTGAAACCTGCTGCTCTGTGTGTTGTGTCAGAGCTGGACAGTCCGCAGGGACTGAGTGTGACGGCGCTGAGCGAGACCAGTGTCTCTCTGATGTGGACGGAGGTGCGGGGGCCTGTTGATCATTATCGGGTCAGTTACAGCACAGCCTCAGGGCCGGGCTCCGAGCTGACCATCCCCAGGGGCAGCTCCTTCCTCACCCTGGCAGACCTGGAGGCCGGCAGCACATACAACATCTCGGTGGTGGCCGAACGCGGCTGGCAGCAGAGTGCCCCCTCCACCATCCAGGTCACCACAGGTAAGTGTGTGCACAGAGCTGAGTGTGAGATTATAGTGAGCACAGCACTGAATGTGAGATAATAGTGAGCACAACACTGAGCCTGAGATGATAGTGAGCACAGCACTGACATTCCATGAGCGTGGGAGTGTGAGCTGGTGGGGATCTGAGACCCGAGGATCCACTCCCCCCCCAATCCCCAGCTCACAGCAACCATCCCCAGGTCCCAGCCTGGCCCAGTCTCAGCACAAAGAACCAACATTGCTGTGAACGCACCAAATGTGTTTATTGACCATTGGCCACATGTGGGAGTCCAGGTAACAGTGACCTCCTCTGACCACTGGGGGCGCCACCACTCGGGCTCAGACTGTGGGGGCACGACTGACCTACTGTTAACCTCCAGAACCTTCTAGCCCCTCTTTATCTTTAGCTTCTCTCTCGCTCTCGCTCTCTCTCAAGGGGTCGGCCCAGTACGGGAGGTGATGAATGGCGACAGTCTTTACACAGATTTATTTATGTTTACAGGAAAAGGACAGCGATGGCTATTCCTGTCGCTGACATCCCTCTCTTTCCCCATAACTAAACATGCTTAAAGGCCAATATTGTCAATGCTGTTGTTTGTGTTTGAGTTTGGGGTGAACTGTGTACTGTCTAAACAGGTTACATCCTGTACAACTCTTACCAATGGCCAGGCCTCTACCGCTCTGGCCTCTATCAATGGCCAGGCCTCTGTGTCCAGGCCTCTACCAGTGTCCAGTGTAAGCGGAGGCCTTAGACTCAGGGTGTGCGTGTGTAGGCCTCAGGTAGTTTTGCGAATGGTCATAAGGAGGTGTGTGTGTGAGATCCCTCCTGATGGAGGTCCTGTTCCCTTGTAACCTCTCGCCTCCTTTGTGTAACTCGCAGGGTTCCAGCCGGTTGCCCAGCTAGGTTCTCTGACATCACGGCAAACAGTGCGGGGGTCTCGTGGGCCGTCCCGGTGCCCCCCGCCGACCTCTACATTCTCAATTATAATCCCAAGGAGCACGGGGAGACGCTGCAGATCACAGTGGATGGCAACAGCACGCAGACCAGGCTGCGAGGGCTGCAGCCCTCTGTAGAGTATATAGTCAGTCTGGTGGCTGTCCAGGGAACCATCACCTCTGAGCCAATAGTGGGCTCGTTCAGCACAGGTACAGAGAGCAGCTGCTGACGGCCACTTTCATACACCTCCCGGGGACTGTCCGGGCACAGAGCCAGCACAGAGTGGCAGCCATTAGGGCTTCGGCTTGCAGGGCTAACAGGAGCTGAGTGGGATGATTCCCTGCCCCCAGTGACTGGTTAGCCCTTCCAAGTCCTGCCAATGAGCCGGGCCGTGCCCTGAAGCAGGCAGACAGCAGCATGAGATAGGCTGACTGTTCACCGGTTCCTGCCCTGACCCTAACCACCTGGCTCTAAAGCCTAAGACAAAAAATAAGGATTAATGCCACTCAACCCAGATAAAATTAAAAGTGTTTTCCTCCCCAGAGCAAATTCAAATCAAGGAATCACAGAATCTTACAGCACAGAAGGAGGCCATTCTTCCCATCGTGCCTGTCTATCCCGGCTCTTTGAAAGAGCTACCAACTAGTCCCACTTTCCCCGCTCTTATCCCAGAGCCCTGCAAATTTTTCCTTCTTAAGTACCTCTTTAAGTACTTTAAAATATATTTTTTTTACCTTAACTACTTTGCCACATTCAGAATGAGCAGCCCAGCAAATAGGGGCACCAGGAACGCAAATCGGGATAAAGTACCACTCAAATGTAATACCTAATTCTACCCCTAATCCATACCATAAAACTGACCCTAAATCTTACCCCCCACCCTCATCTTAGACCCCTATTCCTAAAGCCTAAGGCAAAAATGAAAGACTAAAGGTTTTTTCCGCCCCAAAGCAAATTTGAATCTAAATTTTGTCAGAGTGAGCTGTCCACTCAGTCCCACTGCTCTGCCTTCGTATAACCGTCCACATCCCTCATGACACCCACCATGGGCTCTGCCACCACCCATTTACACAGTTGATTCCTGTCTAATTACCTATTAACCGTTGCTGCTCTGCCGGGGATCACACAGCCGCAGGAGGCCAGGCTCCACCTTTGCATTGCTCTGGGATGTGTATCTAAGTGGCCGTCGCTGTACGTCACATGGTTCTGTGTGGCCCTCGCCTCAGTCCATCAGTGGCTGCCCGTGCTCATGGCTTCTGTCTGGCTTCCCTGCTCTCGCTCCCAATCACATCGCTTCTCCCAGGGTCTGGCTGTCACCCCATCAGTCTGCCATCAATGAACGCCCGCCGGTGGTCGGTGCATGTGAGCAGCAGCTGCTAACTCATGGCTTGTCTCTTTCCTTGCAGATGGTGAGACTTTACCGCTAACTACCTCACGATGTGTTTACATTGCCTTTCTCATTTTGTTGCTGTGCCATCCTCACCTTCAAGTGTGATCATTCCCCAACATCAGTTAGAGTCTGGCTTATTCATCCCTCAATCCACCCCCCCCATCGTCCTCGCCTGTCATCGTCCAGCGCAGTGTGTTTGTTTTTAGTCACTGGGTGTCTGACACACAGGGAAACCCATCACTGTGATCAGCCGGGTTTCTGACACACGAGGAAACCCATCAGTTCGTAAGTGTCCAAATCAGACTGAGACTCACATGGAAATTGCAGAGATATTTACTGGGGTGGAATGCACACTCTCTTCCCTGGAGGGACACTTCCTGCTTACCAAATTCTGGAGAGTATTAGGCGCGGTTGGTTTGGGGTAACTGCTGGAGTTTAACCAGCTAAATATTAATGGCATAGTTTGCCATTGGTATTGCTGTCTGGCAAGTTTTCCCTCTGCTTGTCCAGCTAGGACCACCCTACCCGTTAGGGCTTTGGCTTGCAGGGTTATTCACTATATTCTCAGTGACTCTCACAGTGATGGACAGGCAATCTCTGCCGCCCTGAGTGCCAGGATTCCGGTTTCTTTTCATCAGCAGACGAAGGTTTATTTTCTGAAAACAAGTGAGCTGTAAGTTAACCTCTAGTGTGCTGTACCGCTCTCTCCGCTCCTCGGCAGGGCGCTCACTGACCTGCTCTTGCCTTGTTTTCCCGCAGCCATCGATCCCCCACGGGAGATGTCTTTCTCGAACATCACCGAGGACTCCATCACCGTCAACTGGCTCCGGCCAGTTGCCCCTTTTGATCATTACCAGATGCTGTACCAGCCCGCCGAGGGCCAGCAAGGTAACCGCCAACACCAACATGGTATCCAAATACCGGCATACTAACCACCAACACTGACATACGAACCCCTCTCTCTCCTCCCCCCCCCCCACCCCACCTCTCTCTCTCCCCTTCTCTGTTATAGGCCGAGTGGAGAGTGTGGTGATTGAGTCCTTCCTGACTGAGTACACTTTGAATGAGCTGCAGCCAGCGACACTTTACCAGGTCAACCTCAACACCGTACGAGGGCTGGAGGAGAGTGCGCTGCTCACCAACACAGTGCAGACAGGTCAGCCTCATCTCCCGCTCGTCTTAGTCCCTCTCCCTCAGTCCTCTCTCCCTCAATCCCCTCTCCCGGAGTGATTGACCTCACTCTCTCTCTCACACACTCTCTCTCTCTCCTGATGCTCTCTCAGCCATGGCCTCTCCTCTGGACCTGCGTGTGGTGAACATCACTCCGAGCGGAGCTGAGCTGCAGTGGACGGCGCCCGAGGCCAGTGTGGACAGCTACGTGATCGCGCTGACAGACGAGCAGGGTATGGGCATGGCTGACATGGGAGAGCAGGGCCTGCCCATCCGATTGAATGTGGCAGTGGCGGGGCATGATAGAGCGTGGTGTGATAGAGTGGGTGTAATGGAGGGTGGGTGTAATGGAGGGTGGGTGTAATGGAGGGTGGGTGTAATGGACGGTGGGTGTAATGGACGGTGGGTGTAATGAAGGGTAGGTGTAATAGAGGGTGGGGGTAATGGTGGGTGTGACGGAGGGTGATATGATGTGATGGAGTTGTCACGTGCTCTGTGCTGACCCTCTGCTTGTGTCCGCAGTGGGTGCTGAGGTGGTGCTGGCTGATGGCAGCCAGACTGAGCAGCGACTGAATGAGCTTCAGCCTCACACACGTTACCTGGTTACCATGTACGCAGCCAAAGGTCCAATGACCAGCGCCGTGATCTCTACCAGCTTCCTCACCCGTACGTTTAGCCCTCGTGCCTCCACAGTCTGTGTCCAAGGGGGAGGTGACCATAGACATAGTCAATGAGAAAGGTCTTCAGGCGCAATCTGAAGATGGGGATGGAAGGGGCAAGGCAGAGGGATTGGTGGAGAATGTTCCAGAGTTTCGGGGCATAGTGGCTGAAAGCGCAGCCATCGATGGTGATGGTGATGGAGGGCATGAGGGACATACAAGAAGCCGGAGCCAGTCGAGTGGAGGCAGCGGGTTGTGGGTTGGGGGTTACAGATCGTAGAGATAGGGCATGAAAGGATTTGAAAACAAAGGTGAGGATCTTGAAATCGATCCGTTCGGTCATGGGGAGCCAGTGGAGCCTGACTAGAACTGGTGTGATGGGGCACGGAGTTTAGTACGGGTGAGTATGCGAATGGTGGCATTTGGGATTAGATGGATCTTGTGGATGGTGGAGCTGGGGAGACCAGGAGGAGGGCATTTGACCAAGTCGAGTCGGGAGGTGATGAACGCACGGACGAGGGGTTTAGCTGCATTTGGGGTAATGCACAGTCAGAGTTGGTAATTTGGAGGGAGTGGAGAAAAGCAGTCCTGGTCAGGTACCAGATGTGGAGTAGGGATGTGGTAGACCCAGAATGGCTTCCTCCTCACTATGTCTGATGACCGCGCTCTCCTCCTCGATTCCAGCTGTTGATCCCCCGGTGAACCTGACAGCCAGTGAAGTCACCAGGAAAAGTGCCCTGGTCTCGTGGCAGCCGCCCAGCGCTCGCATCGAAAACTATATCCTAATGTACAAGGCCGGCAGCGGCAACAGGAAGGTAGGTCTGGTCTGGGTCAGGAGCAGCCACACTGCGAGACAGGCCTGGTCTGGCCTGGGCTGGAGCAGCCACAATAGGACCAACAAGAATAAGAGCTTGCATTTGATATCTGGGGTGGAGCAAGGGAGAGGGGAGAAAGAGATTAGAGAGATAGGGAGGTCCTAGGGTGTGAAGCATTTAGAAGTGAGAATGAGGACATTACCATTCCTCCTTTGGGAGCCAGTCGAGGACTGGGGTGATGGGTATGTGAGGTTTGGTGTGGATTGAGGATGGGGTCAGTGGAGTTTTGGATGAGCTGGAACTTGTGGATGGTGGAGCCTGGGAGTCCATTGAGCAAAGTGTTAGCAATTGATGAAGACACGAGAGGAGGCAGATGATGTGGCGGAGGTGAAGGAAAGTAGGGAGTGAGGGACAGCGATTGAGGGAGTGAGAGGGAGGGAGATTGAGGGAGAGTGAGCGAGTGAGGGAGAGCAAGGGGAGAGCAAGGCGGAGTGAGGGAGAGTGAGAGGGAGTGAGGGAGAGTGAGGGGGAACGAGCAAGGCAGTGCCGGTGCTGAGCTGTGTGTTCTCTGGGGTAGGAGCTGATCCTGGATGCTGAGGACACGTGGATCAGACTGGAGGGCTTGCTGGAAACCACAGAGTACAGCCTGAGCCTGCAGGCTGCAGATGGCAGTGAGAGGAGCACAGCCATTGACACTGTCTTCACAACAGGTACCAGCACACAGCAGATACCAGTCTGTATCACACAGACACACAGCAGATACCAGCCTGTATCACACACACAACAGATACCAACCTGTATGACACAGACACACAGCAGATACCAGTCTGTATCACACACACAACAGATACCAGCCTGTATGACACAGATACACAGCAGATACCAGCCTGTATGACACAGACACACAGCAGATACCAGCCTGTATGACACAGACACACAGCAGATACCAGCCTGTATGACACAGACACACAGCAGATACCAGTCTGTATCACACAGACACACAGCAGATACCAGCCTGTATCACACACACATGGCAGATACCAGCCTGTATCACACACACACGGCAGATACCAGCCTGTATCCCACACAAAATAATAATAATAATGACAATAATCCTTGCATTTGATATAGCGCCTTATCATGTTGTCAGGACGTCTCAAGGCACTTCACAGAATATACTGTAAGGTGGAGTGACTGCGTATAATTTGTAGGTGAAACACGGCAGATAATTGTGGACAGCAGTGCTCCACAAAGTCATGGATTGAGAGTTCCCACAACAATCGCTCATGACATAAAAGGCGCTACATAAACACAAATGCAATGTGCTGTTGTTATTCCTCGTCATCTTAAATTTTAAGTCAAAAAGCAGATAACAGACTATATCACACACAGCAGATCCCAGCCTCTTTCTCTGTCTCCCTGAGCCTCTCCCCTCTCTCTCTCTCTCTGAATCTCTCTATGTCTCTCTGAGCCTTTCTCTCTCTTTCTGAGCCCCACTCTCTGTCTCTCTCTCTGTGAGCCTCTCTCTCTCTCTCTTAGCCCCCCAATCTCTGACTCTCTCGCTGTCTCTCTGAGCCTCTCTCTCTGTCTCTCTGAATGTCTCTCTCTGTCTCTCTGAGCCCCCCTACCCCCTCTCTCTCTGTCTGATGCTCTGTGTTGTAGCCGGCCGCCTGTTTCCTTACCCCTGGGACTGCTCGCAGCACCTGCTGAATGGAGATACTGTCAGTGGCATCTACACCGTCTACCTGGCCAGCCAGCCCCAGCAGCCACTACAGGTCTACTGTGACATGACAACCGATGGTGGAGGCTGGACCGTAAGTCACATTCAGCACAGCCAGCCCGAGAGAGGGTCTGTGTGTGAGAATGAGAGAGAGCGAGAGAGATTCAGACAGACAGACAGACAGAGCGAGACTGAGTAAGAGATAGAAAGACTGAGTGAGAGACAGAGAGACTGAGTGAGATATAAATGGACTAATTGAGAGATAGAGTGACTGAGTGAGATACAGAGAGACTGAGTGAGATACAGAGAGACTGAGTGAGATACAGAGAGACTGATTGAAAGATAGAGAGACTGAGTGTGAGGGAGAAAGATTGAGTGTGTGTTAGACTAAGAGAGGGGTAGAGGCAGACAGACAGACAGACAGACGGAGGGACTGACTGACGTCTCTGAATGTGTCCGTGACTGACAGCTCATGACCTGTCAGAGTAAGACACTGCCTTCAGTCCAGCATAAGAGAAGTTTTGTTAACATTTTGCTGGTTTTGTTAATTGCCTGTAACATCAGTAAATCCTCCCGTCTCACATCTCCTGCAGGTTTTCCAGAGGCGACAGAACGGCCTAACGGACTTTGCCCGGAAATGGCTGGATTATCGGCTGGGGTTTGGGAATCTGGAGGATGAGTTCTGGCTGGGTAAAAGCTGCCTCTGTTCTTCCCACGTCACTGTCCGTGACCCCTTCATTCCCAGTTAATCCCACCCTGAGCTGTTAGCTCTCCCTGCTTCAGGGAGGTGGAGACCCCCTACCTCCCGTGCCCCTTCACGTTACACGCTAACACTGAGCTCTCACAGCCAAGCTCTGTGTTTGTAGGTCTTACACTGTGCAGGTGGGCTCCTGCGTGTGGTAGAATGTACATGAAGGTAATATGTGTCAGTGTGTGTGTGTGTGTATCAGTGCATGTGTCAGAGCTCGTCTTGGTGTGTGGGTCCGTAATTGTCTGAATCCATGTGTTAGTGCAAGTGTTGGTTTTTGAGTGTGTGTATTGGGTGGGTGTGCGTGTTGATGTGTGGGTGCGTGTGTTTGGGTGTGTGTGTTGGTGTGTGTGTTGGTGTTAGGGTGTGTGTGTTGGTGTTAGGGTGTGTGTTGATGTGTGAGTGCGTGTGTTGGTGTGTGGATGCCCTGTGGTGGCCATGGTGATGGATAACTGCTGTCTCTCAGGTCTGGACAATCTGCACCGGATCACGATTCAGACACGCTATGAGCTGCGTGTGGACCTGAGGGATGGTGCTGCCACCGCCCACGCCGTGTACGATCGCTTCTACATCAGCGACGCCCGTGATCGCTACAAACTGCGGCTCGGGGACTACAGCGGGACAGCCGGTCAGTGTGTCACACGCTCACTGTCACACTCACTGTGTCACACACTCAAGCCGTCACACGCTCACTCTGTCACACACTCACTCGATCTGTCACACACTCACTCTGTCAAACTCACTGTGTCACACTCACTTTCACACTCTCTGTCACACATTCACTGTGTCACACTCACTGTATCACACCCTCACTCTGTCACACACTCACTCTGTCACACACTCACGGTCACACTCACTCTGTCACACACTCAATCTGTCGCAAACTCACTGTATCACACACTCACTGTGTCACACTCACTCTGTCACACATTCACTGTGTCACACCACCGTGTCACACTGACTCTGGCACACTCTGTCACACTCACTCTGGCACACATTCACTCTGTGTAACGCACTCTGCGTTACACACTCAAATCACATGTCACAAACTCGGCTCAGTGTTGCACATTCATGGCATGTCACATGCTCAGTGCGGTGTTGCTGTGTTGTTGCGTTGCTGTGTTGTGTTTCTCAGTGTTGTTGTGTTGCTGTATTGCACAGTGTTGTTGTGGTGTTGTTGTGTTGTTGCTGTGCTGTATTTCTCAGTGTTGTTGTGTTGCTGTATTTCTCAGTGTTGTTGTGTTGCTGTATTGCACAGTGTTGTTGTGGTGTTGCTGTGCTGTTGTGTTGCTGTGTTGTGTTGCTGTATTTCTCAGTGTTGTGTTGCTGTATTTCCCAGTGTTGTTGTGTTGCTGTAGTTCTCAGTGTTGTGTGGCTGTATTGCACAGTGTTGTTGTGGTGTTGCTGTGTTGTTGTGTTGCTCAGTGCTGTGTTGTTGTGTTGCTCAGTGCTGTGTTGTTGTGTTGCTTTGTGCTGTGCTGTTGTGTTGCTCAGTGCTGTGTTGCTCAGTGCTGTGTTGTTGTGTTGCTCTGCAGGTGACTCTCTGTCCTATCACCAGGGTAGACCATTCTCCACCCGTGACAGAGACAACGATGCCGCGGTCACTAACTGTGCCCTGTCCTATAAGGGCGCCTGGTGGTACAAGAACTGTCACCGCGCAAACCTCAACGGCAAGTACGCCGAGAATCGGCACAGCCAGGTACGCCCACAGCCATTATACCACAGTTTGCCAACACTCTCTCTCCCCTTCACACTCTCACTCTCTCTCTTTCAGTCCCTCCAACACTCTGACTCTCCCCCTGTCTCACACCCGCCTTTGCCCCATATCCCTTGATTCCTTCCGACTTAACAAAAAACTATCCATCTCAGAATAGAAAATGCGAATGGATCCAGCATCCACAGCCTTTTGGGGGAGAGGGTTGCAGATTTCCACTGGCCTTTGTGTGATAAATGGTTCCTGATTTCACGGCTCAATGGCCGAGCTCTCGTTTTGAGCCGATGCCCACTTGTTCTGGATTCCTCCACCAGAGGAAATAGTTTTTCTGTATCTACCCGACCAAAGTTTTATCATTTATATATATCGATGAGATCACCCCTCAACCTCAACTCCAGGGAATACAAACCAAGTTTATGCAACATAACTTCGTAATTTAACAATTTCACCCTCGGTAGGGAGAGGACTTGGGTTTGATTCAAATTTATGACATTGTCGAGACGTCTCAAAGCACTTCACAGAATATACTGTAAAGTCAATTGACTGAATATTTTGTGGGCAAAACACGGCAGCCAATTGCACACAGCAGTGTCCCATTATACAATATAATTATACAATATAATTGTATAATTATATGTTATAAATATAAATACGATATAATTGAATGCCGTGCCTTCAGCCACTGTGCCCCGAGGCTCTGGAACTGCCTTCCTCATTCCCTTTGTCTCGCTCCCTCCCTTCCCATTTTCAGGTCTCTGCTGAAGACCTTTCGTTTTGCCCTCGCCTTTGGTCACCTTCCTCTCCCTCCCCCTACCCCCGGCTCGTTCCCGGGATCCATTATTGTGAAGCGCTCTGAGACGCCGTCCGGCGTGGAGGGCGCTATATAAATCCAAGTTGTTGTTGATTCCCGGGCAGAGCGAAACCTTAGGCAAGTTTCCTTACTCCACACGCCATTTACACAGCAGTAAGTAGGAATTTAGTTGTTAGTCGATTAGTGGATAACTTTCTGGGGGCAATAATCCCTTCAAAAAGTAAATTATAATTTGGTCACTCAATCCATGACTGTTTGTGGGACACTGCTGTGCGCAATTGGCTGCCGTGTTTTGCCCACAAAATATTCAGTCAATTCACTTTACAGTATATTCTGTGAAGCGCTTTGAGACGTCTCGACAATGTCATAAGGCGATATATCAAACACAAGAATTATTATTTATTATGATAGCCAATATTGATCTTTGATTGTTTCCTGAACCTGAGCACCAGCGTTCAAAACTTTGTGCACTTGGCTCCTAAATCCCTTTGCTCCACCACATCCCACTATTAAGAAAAGACAGTGTATTGATCTGGCATTCGCTCTGTCTCACTGGCTCCCTGTCTCTCTATCTCCCTGTCTCCCTGTCTCTCTGTCTCACTGACTCCCTGTTTCCCTGTCTCACTGTCTCTCTCTCTCTCTCTGACAGGGGATAAACTGGTACCACTGGAAAGGCCACGAGAAATCGATCCCGTTTGTGGAGATGAAGATACGCTCTGGGCTGACGGAGCCTCGGGGCCAGCGGGCAGTGCCCGGGTAGTGCTGTGCCCGTGGGGAGCCGCTGTCAGGGACACAGTAGTGAGATATTGTAATAGTGAAAATTCATCCTGTTCAGTACGGCACGTGTAACCACCCGCTTTCTTACCATGGCAATCACCCCCAAACAATAGTCCTGAGAGATGTGTTCAACAGCACTCAGATCAGAGAGGCCACAGTGTGGGCACAGTCCTCTCTACCTCTCAGTCTTGGTCGGTCTCTCACTCTCGATGTTGGAGGTGCCATCCTTTGGATGAGATGTTAAACTGGCCTCATCTGTGCCTGTTCAGGTGGATGTTAAAGATCCCTTGTTGCTATTGTAAAAGCGTAGGGAGTTTCTCTCTCCCTCCTGGTGTCCTGGCCAACAATCCCCCAACAAGTCCCTCGTTTCATGGCTGTTTGTGGGACTTTACTGTGCAAATTGGCCGCCACATCTCGCCCACAAATACACAGTCACCACATTTTACAGCTAATCCAGTGAAGCTCTTTGAGCCCATGTGAGAAGCCTCTGTATCAGATATGAGGATTGTTGTATTTATTTCCACAGACCCTGCAAGCCACAGACCCACCTTTACAAGGTAAATGGCTGTTGGAACAGCTTCCTTCCCCTCTAATACTCCAATGTCATTCCCGACTGGAGCAAATAACTCAACGTATTAACCCCGCGTGGCCAGGTGCCGTGCTTGAACACAGCCAGTCACAAAGGACATCGCCAGGTGGTGGAGCTGTGCCGTGGAAGCAATCCATCACAGCGTTTCCGGAGGAAGAGAGAATAAACCCAAAACAGTCATCAGTAAAGGTCAGCCCGGAACTTCACACATCCCCTGACAGCGGCCTCCAGTGACCCTGATAATGTCCCCTCTTGGCATGCCACGTCACAGGCCACCATTGTATTCAATACTAAATGAAATGGCCAAGGTTCCTCCGACACTTGTAAACTAAACGGTCCCTTGGTCCTTTCTGCCGATGCTAAACAATCGACATCTGATTCAGCCAAATTCCTGAACTCTAAAGTCTCTTTGGCTTCTATATGTAAGTTCACTTGCAAAGTTACCATGTCTGCACTCCTATTTGTTCCCTTTCACATGTTGGTCATTTTTGGGATGTCAATTTTTGTACCTTCTTATCTGTGTAATTTGTTTCCATAATGATGTACGAGTTGCCCGGATTTTGATGCAGATGCCAACTTTCTTACTTACTTGCCTTTGACTACCTCTCCGTCTCCAGCTATAATCATCTTTATTTGCCATTTCTTAATGTCAGCCAACAGAGGAGAGGCTTTGCCTGGCATATCCAACCCAGCGCATCCTTCAGCTGAAATGGGCTGTTTGAAATGATTTTCTGACAGAGTGGTGAGAATGTGAAACTCACGCACTGGCAGAAGCTGGCATTGAGGCAGAAAGCCTCTGAGAATGGCAGTGACGGGAAGGTGGGGAGGGCGATGCCATATATAAGGGTGACCTAGTGATCTCTCTTTCTCTTACATTCTATACTCACTTTCATATCTGACTCTCTAACTCTCACATCTCTCCTCCTCCTCTCAGCCTCTCTCTCTTCTCTCACACTCTATAACTCACATTCTTTAATATCTGTCTCTCTGACACTCTCACCCTCACTTCTCCTCTCTCACACACTCTCTCTGTCTTTCGCTGGGCTGCAGTGAGGATGGAGAGCAGGTTACTGAGGCCCACAGGGCTGTCTGGCCAGGGCTTTGCTGGAGTATTGAGCAGGGGGGTGGTGAGAGGGATTGTGTAAGAGGGGCCTCTCCATGGGGCTAGGGACACAGGGAGTGTGGCTGTCACTGCTGAGGTTTTCTCCCCGTGCTAATAAACCTGTGCTCTTGAATCCTGTGTGTCTGTGAGTGTCTGTGTCTGCCGGCCGGTTGGCCCCAGATTCAGAGGAGACTTGCTGCTGACATGAGGGAGAAGGGATAGACGATATGGAGGGGCCACGGATGCCATAGGATCCTAAACATTGGTACCGACTGCCTGTTCAGGTGGACGTTAAAAGATCCCATGAAAATATTTGAAAAGAGAAGGGGGCTGGGTGTGAGGGTCAAGGAACTCTGTGTGACTTCTGCTCTGCGGTAACAAACAGGTAACAGATATGTAACATATCTGTTTATTATAACATATAAACAGTGAAAGTAACAGGAATATCTACGTTTCAACAAGAACTTTAATAATAATAATAATTATAAATCACAGCCAACTGAGACATTGTACAAATTCAACTACTTTGATAAGCTGCACACCCTGCGTAGTGTGTGTGGAGCTCTCCACAGACAGGCATTGCCAGACTACGACACACAGTGACAGAGAGCCAGACTGACACACAGTGACACACAGAGAGCCGGGCTGACACAGTGACACACAGAGAGCCGGGCTGACACAGTGCCACACAGAGAGCCAGACTGACACAGTGACACACAGAGAGCCGGGCTGACACAGTGCCACACAGAGAGCCAGACTGACACAGTGCCACACAGAGAGCCGGGCTGACACAGTGCCACACAGAGAGCCGGGCTGACACAGTCCCACACAGAGAGCCGGGCTGACACAGTGACACACAGAGAGCCGGGCTGACACAGTGACACACAGAGAGCCAGACTGACACACAGTGACACACAGAGAGCCGGGCTGACACAGTGACACACAGAGAGCCGGGCTGACACAGTGACACACAGAGAGCCAGACTGACACAGTGACACACAGAGAGCCGGGCTGACCCACAGTGACAGACAGTGACACAATGACACAGTGACACACAGAGAGCCAGACTGACACACAGTGCCACACAGAGAGCCGGGCTGACACAGTGACACACAGAGAGCCGGGCTGACACAGTGACACACAGAGAGCCGGGCTGACCCACAGTGACAGACAGTGACACAATGACACAGTGACACACAGAGAGCCAGACTGACACACAGTGCCACACAGAGAGCCGGGCTGACACAGTGACACACAGAGAGCCGGGCTGACACAGTGACACACAGAGAGCCGGGCTGACACAGTGACACACAGAGAGCCGGGCTGACACAGTGACACACAGAGAGCCGGGCTGACCCACAGTGACAGACAGTGACACAATGACACAGTGAACCAGGCTGACCTGGCGATGCTCCTATTCACGACAGTTGAAACGATTTGAATTGAAAAACTTTTTTTTTTACAAAATATGCCTAGTTTGCTGTACAATATACAGATTATCAGCAAGTAGTTTATACTGGATTAAATAATAAATGAAGAATTTAAATGCACCAAAGGCAAATACAGGTGAGTGTGTGTGAGAGTGGGCACCAGTGGGTAAGAGTGGATGTATGTGGGCACAATGAGTACACATGGGCAAGAGTGGGTACCGTGGGCATCAGTGGATGCAGGCAGGCAGTGTGCCTTGTTATGTGTGTGGTGCCAGGCTCAGTGACTATGTGCTGTCCTTGGCTGGGGGTGGGGGCTGGCTGCCAGTCACTGTCTTGATGGAGTTGAGAGTTTTACTGAGCCACGAGTTGCGAGCGGCCTGGATTTCATTCAGCAAAGCTCCTCGGCTGTGCTCCAGCTCCTGTAACACACAGACACACACACAACACAACCATCAGGCCTGGAGACGGGCCCCACCCACAAACAAGCCAAGTCCCCACTCAATCCCCATCCCACAGTTTCACGTCCCACAAGGTCCCACCCCCACAAAATCCCTGCAAGGGAGGAGTGGGGGGGGTGGCACAGGGCAGTGGGGGAGGCACAGGGCAGTGGGGGAGGCACAGGGCAGCGGGGGGGGGGCGCACAGGGCAGCGGGGGCGGGGTACAGGGCAGCGGGGGAGGCACAGGGCAGCGGGGGAGGCACAGGGCAGTGATGGGACAGGGCGGTGGGGAGGGCACAGGACCACAGGGTGCACAGGGCCGTGGGGACAGTGGGTGGGCACATAGCAGTGGGGGCACGATGGGGGCAGAGGGGTGTACCTGGATTTTACACTTGGCCTCCACCAGTTGCAATTTGGTCTGAGCCAGCTCCAGTTCCAGCTCCCGCAGCTGCTTCTGCAGTAGCTCCTTCTCCTCGTCCACACACCGCTCTGTACCTGCCCCCGCCGGCCCCGAGCCTCGGACCCCCAGTCCTCCATCTGGCCGCAACAGCTCACAGCAACGCTCACAGCACAGCACCTTATTCTGTGTTCAACAAAGCAAACACTCATTCAGAACCAGAATAACAGCAACAACAAATGACATTTACACGGCGCCTTTCATGTCAGGAGGACGTCCCAAGGCGCTGGACAGTCAGGGATTTGGACACAAGTTGGAGGTTGGGCTCAGGAGGGGTGGACGGCTGGGAGGGTGGAAGTTAGGAGCGTGACTGAAGGCGCAGTCGAAGAGTAGAGTCTTGACACGTGCCTTGAAGGAGGGAAGGAAGGGAGCGAGGTGAAGGGACTATGGGATGGAGTTCCAGAGGATGGGGACAGAGAGGCTGAAGACATGACCGCTAATGGTGGGGTGGATCCAGCAGCGGACGTGGAACAGGCCAGAGCAACACAATAAAGGTCCCTATACACTGTCTGTCCACACTCCCAGGACAGCAACAGCACAGGTTAGAGATAGTCTCACACACACACACTGTCACACACAAGCAGTCACATTCAGTCTCACACACACAGTCACACTCAGTCTCACACACACAGTCTCACACACAGACTCACACAAGCTGTCACATTCAGTCTCACACATACACACACAGTCACATACACACAGTCTCACACACGCAGTCTCACACACAGTCTCACACAGACCTTGAGCAGTTCCAGCTCCTCTTTACTCGCCGCCTGCTGTTTCTCGAGCCGTGAACTCAACTGGGAGCAGATCTGTGAGAAGCCAAAAGAAGCTTCGTCAGACTATCGTCCAGAGCTGGCAGCATGTCCCCATGCTCCCCACCTCCCCCTGCCCTGCTCCTGCCAAACCCCCACTTGCCCCTGTCAAACCTCCACCTGCTCTTGCCAACTCCCCTACCTGGCCTCGCCAACCTCCCCCCACCTGCACTCGCCAACTCCCCCACCTGCTCCCGTCCCCCCACACCTGCCCTCGCTAACACCCCCACCTGCCCCTGCCAAAACCCCCGCCCCCACCTGTCCTCTACCTGTTTGTACTCAGAGATGATGGCGCTGGTTTTCTTGACATCACTCTCAGCCTTTTCTAATTCTCTGCGGAAAACCTCCTTAATCTGTGGAGAAAGAAAGTCACCATCAGAACATCAACACTTGCCAGCCAGACCCTCACACACTGTATATACACACACTGTCTCCAACAACAACAACTTGCATTTATATCGTGCCCCTCACCAGGGCAGCGTCCCAGAGCACTTACACTGAGATACATTGTACACACACACTCACATCATACTGTATACACACTCAAGAGATATACTGTACACACATCGTATACACACAGTATACATACTCAATAGATATATTGAACACACACACAGATAGTGTATACAACAACATTACATTTATAGAGCGCCTTTCAAGTCGGGGGGACGTCCCAAAGCGCTGAACAGTCAGGCATCGGGGCCCGAGCATAGGGAAGGGATGGTGCAGGGGTGAGGGAAAGCAGAGAGGTGGGAGGGCGGCCAAAGGCACGATCGAAGAGAAGGGTCTTGAGACCGGCCTTGATGGAGGCAAAGGGACCGTGGGATGGAGTTCCAGAGTGTGGTGCTAGAGAGGCTGAAAGCCCGGCCACCGATGCTGGGGCCAGTCGGGCAGGAGACATGGAGCAGACCGGAGCCCGCTGAACGGAAGGAGTGGAGGTGCTGGTGCGAGCTGGAGGTGCGGAGGCCCTGCACAAGCCAATCAGGAGTGCCTCGGTATTGCTGACGTTGAGTTGGAACAAGTTGTCTCTCGTCCAGGAATTAATGTCGGAGAGGCAGTCGGTCAGGACGCCAGTAGTCCTGGAGTTGAGGGTGGAGGCAGAGAGATAAGAGTTGGGTGTCACCCGCATACATGTGGAAATTTACCCCATGTCTATGGATGATATCACCAAGGGGGAGCATGTAGAGGGTGAAGAGGAGGGTACCGAGGACAGAGCCCTGAGGAACTCCCACGAGACGGTGCAGGGGCTGGAGAAGCCGTTCACTGCGACCAAGTGGGTGGTGTGAAAGGTAGGACCTGAACCAGTCAAGGACAGAACCTTGAAGGTTGAGGTGGGACAGGCGGTGGAGGAGAGTTGAGTGGTCCTCGGTGTCAAAAGCAGTGGAGAGGTCGAGGAGAACGAGGAGACAGAGGGAGCCCTGGTCACATATGGTCAGGATGTCGTTTGTGACCTTCACCAGAGCAGCACGGAAACCCGATTGGAGGGGTTCATGCAGGGAGTGGGAAGAGAGGAATGAGCGAAGCTGGGAGGCAACGGCTCTCTCAAGGACATTGGATAGGAAAGGAAGGTTTGAGATGAGCCGGTAGCTGGATAGCTTGTGATGGGTCAAGGGAAGGTTTCTTCAAGGTGGGGGTGATAATGGCTGTTTTGAGGGGGGAAGGACCAGTGCCACACTGTATACACAAACAGAGGCTGTGCCAGTACTGAGACGGACAGACAGAAAGAGGGAGAGAGAGACTATGTTGGTACAGAGATTGTGATGTAACAGTGAAACACACGCAGTGCGACTACAAGGGAGACTGTACAGAGAGAGAGAGAGAGAGAGCGTATCTGTACAGAGAGGGACAGTGTCGGTACAAACAAGAGCTCTATACTTGTGCCGACTCTTCCTCCTTTCTCCTTTTCTCATCCTCAGTCTCTACGAGTCGCTGTTTTGTCTGTAGTAGCTCCTTGTTCAGTACATCGGCTTTGTCTTCAGCCTGGTGAGGAACACACATGCAATGTGACTGTACTAACAGTAAAACACACACACACACAGTGAGACTGTACTAAAAGTCACACACACAGGGTGACTACTAACAGTGACACACAAACACAGCGTGACTGTACTAACAGTGACACGCACACACAGTGTGACTTACTAACTGTGAAACACACACCCAGACGCACACAAAAACTGTGTGACTGTACTAAAAGTGTCTCTCTCTCTCACACACACCAACAACAACTTGCATTTATATAGCGCACTTCATACCGGGTAGCCTTTTGGTGCATTTAACAGTAAACATAATGATGCTTAACATAGTGCCTAAGGTGGGGGAGTGTGTGGGGTGCAGTGTGTGGGGGGAGGAGGGGGGGGGGCGGGGGTGAGGGGGTTTGAGAACAGTGCAGCTGGAAGCGTCCCCTTACAGTAACAGCTTGTGAGGGCATCAATCAGCTGAAATCAGTCGCAACATAGGGACAACCCACAGCGCGTTATCCTCAGCCTCTCCTCCAACTGCAAGCTGCCCTCCTCCCCCCTCCCCAGCCTCTCTCACTGCTACATCCCCATTCTCCAAACATCCTAGTGAACCAACACTGCGGTACTCTAATACCCTTTCAGGAATGCAGCGTCCGAAAGTGTACACAGCCTCCAGGTATGACAGCCACTCACTTACCTGGTCCAGGTCACTGCGCAAGGCAATCTTGCTCGTCACCAGCTCGTGAGCCAAGTCATCGTTCTCCTGCTCCAGGCGCAGGCTGGCTTCCTGCAGCCGCCGGTTCTCTCGCTACAGAGAGAGAGAGAGAGAGAGTGAGAGGGTTTCGACAGAGAGAATGGGGGCTCACCAGTGATAGAGACTCAACAAACTCTCCAACTACCGCCCCATCTCCAACCTCCCTTTCCTTTCCGAGATCCTGGAACAATCGTTGCTTCCCAGCTTCGCTCCTTCCTTCTAGGAACTCCTCCAATCAGGTTTCCGAGCTGCTCACTGTCTCCTCGTTCTCCTCTGCTGCCTTCGACACTGTTGACCATTCCATCCTTCCCTACTGCCTTTTCTCTCACCACAAACGGCTTCTCCTCCAGCCCCTGCACCGTCTTGTGCGGTGCTCCTCAGAGTTCTGTCCTCGGTCCTCTCCTCTTCAACATCTGCGTGCTTGGTGGCATCATCCGCAGACATGGGGTCAACTTCCATATGTATGCGGATGACACCCAACTCTATTTCTCTGCCTCCACCCTCGACTCCAGGACCACTGCTGTCTTGACAGAATGTCTGGCAGACACCAAGTCCTGGATGAGAGCTAATTTTCTTCAGTTGAACGTCAACAAGACCGACACTCTCCTGATTGACTCCCGTCAGTACCTCCACAGCTCAGGTACTGACAGCATCACCATCCAAGGATGCACACTCCACCTCACTGAGCCAGTCCGGAATTTTGGCGTCTTGTTTGACCCTCAACTGTCCTTTCTACCCCACACAAATGCCTTCCGCAACATCGCCCGGCTCTGCCACTGCCTCACCCCGATACCCTCATGCATGCATTAGTCACATCTAGGCTTGACTACGCCAACTCCCTGCTTGTCGACCTTCCCAACTCTTCCTTCTACAAGCTGCAGATCATCCAGAACTCTGCAGCTCGTGTCCTCTCCCGCACCAGGCTCCGTGACCCTATCGCTCCCACCCTTGTCCGGCTGAACCCAGCTCACCCACACCCCACACTGACCACCCCCTACACCCCACACTGACCCCAACCACAACCACACTGATCCCCCACCCCACACTGCCTCATTCACCCGACCCTCCCCATACTGACCCCCACCCTCCCCACACTGACCCCCCACACATCCCACACTGACCACAACCACACCCCACTGACCCCCTCTCCCCTGACCGCCCCACCCCACCCTGATCTCTTCTCCCCCCACTGATCCTCTCTCCTCCCACTGATCCCCTCTCCCCCCACTGATCCCCTCTCCCCACACTAACCCCACACCGACCCCCCCCTCTTCTCATACTGAACCCCTCTCCCCACACCGACCCCCACACCTCTCCCCACACTGACCCCACCTCTCTCCACACTGCCCCTCCTCCCCACATTGAACCCACCTCTCTCCACACCGATCCTGCCCTCTCCTCACACTGACCCCCCCACTCCCCACACTGACCCCCCTCACACCCCACACTGACCCCCCCCACACTGACCCCTCCCACACTGACCCTCCCTCTGACCTTGTATCTGTCGATGGGATCTTCTTGCTGTGCCTGCTGCTCTCGCAGGGCCTGGTATTCCCGCTCGTACTTCTTCAGCTTTTTGGTGGGAACCTGGAGAGAGGGTGAGAGTGTGTCAGAAAGCAGTGACCAGGCACGCTGTGCTTACCACAATATAGTCAGCACATCTTGTGAAGCACTTTGAGATGTCTCAATGACGTGATAAGTTGCTCTATCAAATGCAAGGATTATTATTATTATAATTATTACCAGAGGCCTGAGCTTGCTGGTGGCCAGCACACTGACCAGCACATCCTCCTCCTCCACCAGACTGAAGACGTGAGCATTGTAGGCGGCCGAGATAGAAACTTCCTCCATCATTTTGTCAGAAAAGGTTAGATGATAATAAATTATATAAATAGGTTTCTACAATACAGGTCAGAGATGAAGGGGTCTTGGCACGAGGCCCGGCTCCGCACAGGTTAGATCTCGCTGCTGGACACGCAGGGACAGCAAGGCCATTCCTACTCGTCCGCACTGTCCTGCTCCTCAGTATCCACACTCAGCACCGCTCGCCACACCACAAACAGCGGCATCGCTTCCCAATCTTCACCCTCAATCCTCAAACATTCCCTCCTGCTCCTCCTCGGGAGGGTTTAAAGCATGGTGGTCTTCAGGTCTGCTCCTTGGCTCCCCACACACCCCTGTACACACACACACACCGCCTTCAGACATGCACACACAATGCCAAAGAAACAAGCAGCAGAATGAGACAGCAATTCAGTCTGAGAAGCTGAGCACTTCCTGGGTCACAGTTTGTGGCAGGTGCCCTGTGTGCAGTGTAACCAGGTGAACACACTGCCACACCCTGCAGCAGACGCCAGAGAAAGAACAGGTTTTTCCGGCCCAAAAATCAAGAGCCGCGGTTAAGGTGAGAGTGTTGGTGATTCAGAGGGAAGCCTAACATTTAATCGTGGCACAGCAGACATCTCCCTGCATTTCCCCATCGATACATCCATATGTCAAAAAGATATTCAATTGTAAAGGTTCTTGATTCTGTAGCCTAATTTCAGTTTATTGAAAGGCCTCTCGGTTGGGTCGAGTTCCTCCCAATCCAGGGTCGGGTTTCTCACTATCACGTCCAGGCTGACTCCCTGCTCGCTGGACTTCCCAACTCTTCTCTCCACAAGCTGCGGATTATTCAGAACTCTGCAGCTTGTGTCCTCTCCTGCACCCTATCACCCCCATCCTGGCCCGGTTCCACTGGCTCCCCATCTCCAGAAGATAGAATTCAAAATGCTTGTCATCACATTTAAATCCTTCCATGGTCTTGCTCCTCCGTAACTAGCACTGCAACCTTCCTAAACCCTATCAACCCGCTCCGCAACCTTCCTAAACCCTATCAACCCGCTCCGCAACCTTCCTAAACCCTATCAACCCTCTCCGCTACCTCCTCCTTTAGCCTTTCTGCCCCACTCTTTGGAACTCCATTTACACTGCCTTGTCACCTTCAAGATCTGTGTTAAGACTTACCTCTTTGACTGTGCCTTCAGTCACCCCCACCCCACCCTGCCCCCCCCCCCCCCCAATTGGCCACAAAATATAGTTAATTCACTTCACAGTATGTCGTGTGAAGTGCTTTGAGATGCCTCAAAAATTTTATAAGACGCTATATGAAATGCAAGGATTCTTATTATTATTGTTCCCCCCCACCCTTCTCGAATCCAACCCCCGTCGAGGTGCAAACCCTCGACTGTCCAGCACATTGGGATCTAGTGAAAGGCGCTGTACAAATGCCAATTGTTGTTGCTGTAAACTTTTTGGTAATTCTATATTATACAATCCTACAGAAGAAATGAGTAAAAAGTATTTGATACAGTTCGGAGTGCAAAGAGTTAAGTAACAGAAAATAAAATGGATTCTGAATGGTAACTACACTATTGAGAATCTATTTGAGGTACGGAGAGGGGGCAGGTCAGGCAATGTACATGGAGAGGAGGGCTGTGAGGAGAGGCTGCAGAGGTTCGCACTCTCTGGCGTGGAGGGAAGGGTGAGGGATGATACGATCAGGATTTGAGGATAACGGCAGTGAGAGACAGCCACTAAACAGGCCAGGCTGCTCCTACCCCTTTTTTTTGCTTTAATAAAATTAGTGGAAGCCGCTTAGCTGGATGCCGGTTAACCCAGCCCCGATTCACTTGTATTCTTACCTGTTTTAAATATGCCTGTTAATCCGGACAAAATGTTGCACTGGTCGCCACTGCGCTAACTCACTCACTCACTTGGCCCTTCTGTGTCTCGAGCGGCTCCATTCGGCCACGAGGGGCTCCTGGATGGAGATGGGAGGAGTCAAATTGCGACTGATTGACAGCGAACTCCAGCTATTCTCAAGCGGCTGGAGTTGGGCTGTCAATCAGTGAGGGGGACGGAGGAACAGGCAAGAACAAGGGAGGGAATGGGAGGAGTCAAATCGGGATTGATTGACAGTTGGAGCTGCTTGTGAATGGGTGGAGCGGACACACAAGCGGCTTCAGACTGTCAATCAACTCGAAGCTGCCGCTAATCGGACCCTTTCCTGTCCAATGGGAACGGCAATGGGTGGGAGGAGGCACCGCCCCACTCCTCTGCTGGACGTGAAGGGCTAAGGGAACTTTGGTTAGTCTCGGACGCCGCTTAAATCGGACAAAATGACCATATCCGGATTATGCTGCTTCCACTGTAGATTAAATGGTTCCTTTGCTTAGGTGAGTGTCTAACACGCAGACACCCATTATCATGCTCCAGCAATTGTACTGAAAACAAACTACTACACCCCAACTAAACCACACATGGAAGCTTCTCTGTGTGGAATGGGCTGCACACTCAACAACAACAGTTTACATTGATACAGTGCTTTTCATGCAGGGTAGGATCTCGGAGTGAACAGTGCGGTAAATGGGGAGAACAACATCAAATTACATTTGTATAGTGCCTTTCAGGTCGGGAGGACGTCCCAAGGTGCTGGACAGGCAGAAAGGAGATGACCATAGGTATGGTTGACATGCAAAATCATCATGTTCAATCAGAAGACAGGCAGAGAAGGGCGTGAGGAGGAGGCATAGAGGCAGGGAGTTCCAGAGTGTCAGGGCTTAGTGGCCGTCCTCAATTCTCCCCAATTATTTAAATATCTTCAACCCGAAGCACCGCCTCATCACGTGAACCATGTAAAGCTGGGGCCTAAGGTCTCAGTGTGTGCTCAGACAGCTGTGCTGTTTCAAGTGTCGCCCTGTACTTGCAAGTGACCCGCTGGCCCCTCACTGGAGATAGAACCAGGTCTAAGAGTAAGATTAAGCTCAGTACTAGATCAGGCCTTTACACCTGAGCTGAAAGGCACACCCTGATCTCCTGTATCTGGTGTATAAGAGTGACTGCAAACTGCATGCGGCTGAGAGACCAGTGTAGTGCTGAGGCTGGCCTGCCCCAGTGCGGGAAGCTGACTCTCACCTTTATATTACAAGCGTGTTCCAACAGCCTCCTGGCATTCTCTTCTGCCCGGTAACGCTTGGGCAGCTGCACACGGAAGAACTTCAGCGTCCCCTCAAAGTCTGCTTGCAGCAAGTCATCCTTCGTGGTCTGCGGAGTGAGAGAGCGAGTGGTCAGACCATCTGTCAGCCGACATACAAGAACCCTAACCCACTCCCACTAACCCTAACCCTCCTGGTCTAACTCTAAAATTCCCCTTAACCCTAAGCCCCCAACCATCCCCCGCTAACCCTAACCAGAATACAATCAAGAGAATTCCCGAATGCTCAGTATAAAGTAATACATTCATGAGCCCAAAGTAAATTTGACAAAACTCCAGCATCTGGAGGGTCCAGGAACACCAGTCACGTCTAAAACTCCCCCACAAATGTAAAAAAAACCTAACCAAATATAAGTGCTACGGCACAGTTTGCCAAAAGATAAACCCAAACAAACCAGTGACGACATGACAAAATCAAGCTTGTTACTGTGGCACAGTGTCTGTCGTCAGGGACAATTGCCTGTTGTGTTTGAGGGAAACTGGTATATGTTGCCTGATACACAAATTGACGGCCGGCAAGGATTCAATGTATGCTGTAGCCTATATTTCCAGTTCGGAAAGGGCAAGTAAGAAAGTTAGCAATACAAAACAGGATTAGATCCCCCAAAGTTAAATACAATTTAGACCAGAGAGGATCCAACCTCTTGGCTGATGCGGGCCGGATGCCCTATTGGAGAAAGGTGCGCGGGCCGCATAAGCAATATTTATGTGTTTCTCTTCCAGAAATATACGAACATTTACACATCACCTTTTTCATGTTGGAAGCATGTCTGAATGCACTCGACACTGTCGGCTGGGCACCTGAGCTGGGGATGTGAGCCCAGGGAGGTGGGATAGGGAGGGGAAAAGATGACCAAAAGCACAATCAGAGTTAGTTCTTGATGTGCTTTGAAAGGGAAGGAAGGGAGTGAGTCAGAGGGACTCCAGGAATGGAGCTCCCGAGAGCAGGGGCAAAATGGCGATAATGGGGCAGATGGAGTGGGGGGGACATGAAGCAAGCCGTTGTTTGCTCGGCAAAGGGAACGGCCAGGTCAAGAGGTTGCAGAGATAAGATGTGCAGGGAGGGGGAATGATGGATGTAGAGGAGTTTCTCACTGGGGAAAGTGGGAGCTTTCTGTGAGGAAACCGCACAGCACGCTGCTCGGTGGCTGAGGGAAGCTCCGATCGTCTGTCCTGAACCACAGTGAACCACAAAATGCTGCCCTCACTTCTCCTTTTTCTCTGCTTTTTCACTCTCTTCGTTTCTCTCTCCCCATCGTGCACTCTCTCTCTCTATCTCTCTCAATCACTTTCTCCCCTCTCTCGCCACCACCCCCCACCCGCTCTGCCAATCACTCTCTCTCTCTCCCCCTCAAACACACACTCTGCCCCTCTCAATCAGCTAAGCGGGTCACTACCTGCAGCGGCAGGAGCCGGCGGATGGTGAGGGCGAGGTGGTTAAGGAGACTCGCTTGCCTTCCTGACAGACAGTAACCACTGGCATTATTTTTACTCCCCGCGCTGCGTCCTCCCAACCGCCAGCTCCTGCCACTGCCATGAGAGGATGATCGGCGGGGAGGGAGGAAGCGGACGACCCAAAGTTGTAAATGGTCTCGGGACGGATGAAATCATCCGCCGGGCCAGATGCGGCCCACGGGCCACCTGTTGGACTACACTGATCTAGACAATTCCCGAAGGTTCAGAATAAAGCAATACATTCACGAGCCCGAATTAAATTTGACAGAACTCCAGCATTTGGAGGGTCCGGGAACACAAGTCGTGTCTAAATCTCCTCCCAAAATGTAAAAAAAATCTCAGCCCCAGCCCAAGCTTCAACACCCCCCCCCCAGCCTCAACCCCAACCCCTAATCCCATCTCAACCTCAGCCCAGTCCCCAGCCCCAACAAGCTCACCGGTAACAGCCGGGGGACAAACAAGCGATGCCCCATGCCCAACAGCTCCAGCAGTCGGCACCCGTACGCTGCCACCATCTTGTGCCTCTCATCCTGTGTCTCCTGGCTTTTCAGGAGAGGGTTCTGGACGGTGGCAAGGGAGGGTGTGGAATGGGAGAGCTCCTCTCCAGCCAGCAACACACAGGGCGGATCCAGCTTGCTGGCTCAGGTCAATAACCAGCAGAGACTGTGGGCTTCACACTGGCGGCTGGTAACAGCTGAGAGCAGGGCTGCCAGTGAGGGGAGAGACTGCAGCTGACAGCAGCGCGGGAGGGAGGGAGGGATGGAGCTGAAACGTAGGCAGTGAGCTCACTGGCTGTGTAGGGAGCAGGCAGCTGATGTGAATGTGTAATGAGGGACAGTCAATGAGCATTCAGCTCGCGTCTCTCGGGAGAGTGTCTGGTCTCAGCAAAGTCAGCCCCACACCGTGCCCCACCCCATCACCACACGCAGCCCCCACCACTCCACCAACACACAGTCTACCCACCACACCCACCCACACAGCCCCCACCCACCACACATACAGCCTACCCACCACACCCACCCACACAGCACTCCCCACACACACCCACAGAACCCCCCACACACACCCACACAGCTCCCCACACGCACACAAAGACCCCCACAAAACACAGCGCCCCCACAAACTTATGCAGCCTCACACACGCCGCCCCCCACCCATACACACACAGACCTGTCCACACACACACACACACATACACACACAGCCCCGAGAACCACACACCTCTCCCCACTGGCCCCGAGCACACACACATACGGTCCTCTCCGCCCCCCCCCTCACACACACAGCCCTGGCACACAACCACTGCCAGCCCCCACCTACACAGTACAGCCCTAGCACAGCACAAACCTGTTCCCAGAGTCACAAATCTCAGACCAGTGATGGATGGGGGTGGGAATGGTCGGGAAATCTGAGACGAGAGGTGGTGAGGGTGATATTGGGATGTGAATTTGTTTTATGTCCAATTGTTAAACCGAAGTCCCATCTGCCTGTTCAGGTGGATGTTAAAGATCCCATGACATGACTTGAAAAGAGAAGGGAGATTCTCTCTCCCCATGTCCCATCCAACAATTCCTCTAATAAAATTGGTCACTCACTTCATGGCTGTTTGTGGGACTCAACCTACTCCAGTGACCCTTTGCGAAGTGCGATGAGACTTTATGTTATACGGGCTGTATCAAATGGGAGGATTTTTCATTACTTTATTCTAGGACTTTATAGAAGAGCTTCAGATACATTAGAAGTAATGTATTTATTTGAAGGGAATATTAATTGCATTACATGAAATAGTAAGGCCTCTCCGCTTTACCCAATTTTCACAGATCTACCCTTGCCTGGTGCGATTCCTATCCCTCTCACCGTCTCCACTTTGTTGCCTCTAATGGTTTCTCCTCCAGCCCCCGCACTGTCACATCTGGCGTCCCCCAGAGTTTTGGCCCTCTCCTCGTTAATACCTACATGCTCCCCCTTGGTGACACTTCCACATGTATGCAGATGACACCCAACTCTATCTTTCTGCCTCCACCCTCAACTCCAGGACCAATGCTGTCCTGACAGACTACCTGTCGGACATCAAGTCCTGGATAAGGGCAAATTTCCTACAGTTGAATGTGAACAAGACTGAGGCCCTCCTGATTGGCTCGCGCCAGTGCCTCTGCACCTCAGGCTCTGGCAGCATCAACCTCCAAGCCAGTCAGGAACCAAGGTGTCTTGTTCGACCCTCAACTATCTTTTCTCCCCCACACTCAAGCCATGACCCGCTCTGCCTTCCCTCACCTCCGTAACAACACCCGACTACCTCAACTCTCAGGCCGCTGAAACCCTTGTTCATGCCTTCATCACCTCCAGGCTCGACTATGCAAACGCCCTGCTTGTCAGTCTTCCCAACTCCTCCCTCCACAGGCTGCAGATAATCCAGAACTCTGCAGCCCGTGTCCTCTCCTGCACCAAACTCCATAACCCCATCTCCCCCATTCTCACCCAACTCCATTGGCTCCCTATCCTTCAAAGGATCCAGTTCAAGATCCTGGTCCTCACATACAAAGCCCTCCGTGGCCTCGCCCCACCCTACTTCTGCGACCTCCTAACCCCCTACCAATCCGCCCATTCCCTCCACTCAGCCGGCTCTGGCTGCTCCATATCCCCCAACCCACCTGCCCCACATTGGCGGGAGAGCCCTCAGCCACTCTGCCCCCAACCTCTGGAATTCTATCCCCCAGTCACTCCGCCTCACCCCCTCCTTAGCCTCCTTCAAGTCCCGCCTTAAGACTCTTCTCTTTGACCATGCGATCGGCCACCCCCCTTCCCCTCCTCTCCCTCCCCCCACCCATGACCCCAGCTCGGGTCTGAAATGCTGTACTCTGTCCAGCGCCCTGGGACGTCCTCCTGACGTTAAAGGCGCTATACAAATGTAATCTTGTTGTTGTAATAATAATCCTTGCATTTGATATAGCGCCTTATCACGTCATTGAGACGTCTCAAAGTGCTACACAGAATATACTGTAAAGTGAATTGACTGTATATTTTGTGGGCGAAACACTGGTTTCTTACCTCCAACAGAGCGAGCGCCACGTTGAATATGATGCTGATGCCCTGAAAGCAGAAATTGACATTAGTGCTGAACCTCTGGCTTTCAGTCCTCTCTCCTCTCCTGGGCCTCCAGAAACCCAGCCGTCATGTCGACCCTACTACTTGTGTTGCTAAATCATCCTTTTTTCACCACTTTCCATTTCTCTCTCCACATTAATGTTCTTGCTCCTCGGGCTCCCCTTTCAATGAATTTAGAATTTAAGTCCCTTCGGGTTCAAACACACACACACACACAACCACTTACGTCTCAGTGACCAGAACTGTATGCAGTACTCTAGGTTCAGCCTCACCTGAGCACTGTACAGCCTGAGTATGAGGTCTGCAGATCCGCAAACCATCTTACATTCAACAACTTGCATTTATATGTCATCCTTCTCACAGGGTATTGATTCAGAGAGTGCCAAAATTAATATATACGAGGACCCAGGACAGGCCCTGAGGTACCCCATTTAATCCCGCTCCCCATTGTGACCTCGCTCCCCTAACAAACACCCTTCACTTCCTTCCCTTCAGCTAATTCTGAATCCAAGGCAATATATTGACCATGATACCCAGTGACCAGTTTGTGAAGGAAACTTTCATGTGGTCCCTTGTCAAACATCTTATGGAATTCTAGATACACTAGATCATTCAGCTTCCCGCAGTGAACTTGGGCTGTCAGCTCCTCGAAAAACCCATGAGATTGGTCAGATAATTCAATCCCCTTTGTGAACTGTGTTGCCTGTCGATTATTAGTTTATTTTTAAATCGGTAACCTTCCACTTCCTTTCCAGTTTTTCCACCTTTCCAATTACAGAGGTCAGGCTAATGGATCTGTCGCTGTGCTTGATAATGGGAACAACCTCCGATGCTGTACATGAGTCTGTGTCCAGTTTGTCATGTTGTGTCCACGTGGTATAATCTCTAGAAAGTCGTCACTTAATGGCTGGTGCCTCCTGATATTTTCCAACCTACTATGGGTTCCTTAGGCTTTAAATTCCCCCTGACTAGCTTCTGACTGTTAGAATACCATAGAACAACACATGATAACACGTGGACCTTATGTCATCCCATGCCTTCAGTGTGGCAGGAGGACCTTTACAGGATAGCTTATGACTTGCCAGCCACCTGGATGTTCTCTGGGTCCAAATCTATTGTCGCATATCAGGCTTACTCAGCACCAACTGCTTCATCCAGGTCCTAATATCCTCCGGCATGGTTGCGGGGTTACCACTGAAGCGAGACGAGAATGACCAGAGTGCCCTTCACCCCTCCCAGTGCGGTCCTCAGGACAGTGGACAGGCAAAGGCTGGTGTTCCCAACTGATGCCCCTCATATCTTCCAATCAGGGTCCCCTCGAGCAGAGCATAATGCCACACTTAGGGGGGCCCACCATCATATCCCACTTGGTGGCAGTTGACAAGATGGCCGATCCAGCTCAAAAGTCCCCTGGTGAGGCCGGCAGCAAGAAAATATCATCCGCAAACAGAAGTCGCAATCCTGTCAGAGAGGCCTGGAACAGATACCCCAAGTCCTTCTCCCTCGATGCCATTCAACAGGTCACTTCTGAACACATCAAATAAGGTGGGTGACAATAGGCAGCCTTATCCCCCTATCAAGGCTTGCTGAGTCTACTGTCAATGATTAAACAGATTTCGGAACTGGAATACACATTCATGAAAATTAAATGTTAGAGTCAGAGAAAGAGAAAATCAGAAACAGAGCGAGAGAGAATAGAAAATTGGAGACTCGAGAGCAAGGATAGTAGAGTGTGAAGTGCTGCTTGTGTAGCGATTGAATAACTGCAGTTTTCCACTTCAGTCCATATTTCAGTGGACTTAGAACTGAGATCAGGAGTGTTTGCTCACACACAGACAGAGGGCTGTGAGGATGTGAACGGTCGGCCCAGAAACCTGCAGAGATGGGATCAATAAAAGAGACAGAGCCGGAGGTAGTTGGGACAGGGCAGGCATCGGCATTAAACGATCTGACCAGATCTAACACACTGGGACAACAGGCTGTGTGGGCTGAATGACTTCTTCCTGTTTTCCCATTCTCCCCACATGCCCCCGTACTTGGATTCCCATGTTCCTCTGAAGAAGATGGGAAGCTCACACCACAGGGAACCTCTGACGGGAGAGGGCAGTAGATCTGACAAGTGAGGCAAAATGGTGCACACATGCACACACAGAGGCCCTGAGACTATGGAGCTCTCGGCCACAAACTGGTCCAAGCAGAAAATGGTGTAGCAAGCGGAGGGGGCATTAGACAGTGTGGCCAAAGGGTCCTTTTCTGTGATGTGATAATGTTCCTGCCATTCTAGTGAGTCTCCTCTCCACCAGTGTCTCTCCTCTCTGGCTAGTCCTCTTGTCAGGCTCCTCACACAGTACGGATCGATTCCAAGATCCTCTCAATCATCTACAAATCCCTTCAAGCCTTGGCACCTCCCTACCTTTTTGATCTGATTTCTCCCCACTCCATTACCCGCTGCCCCCACCCGGCTGGCTCTGCCCTCCTGCTTTCTCCATCTTCCCTTCTGCTCCACCATCAGCGGCTGTGCTTTCTGCCAATACACCCCAAGTCTTTCAAACTCTCTCCCTGAATACCTCCGCCTTGCCTCCTCCTTCCCCTCTTTTAGATCACGACTGAAGACCTTCCCCTTCAACCGTGCTTACAATCACCTCCTCCCTCCGGCTCAGTGTCAGGCTCTGCCACTGTTAAGCACTCTGAGTCGCTCTGTTAAACTCAGAGTGCTTAACAGTGGCGGAGCCTGACACAGTGTGAAGGGAGCTATATAAATGAAACTTGTTGCCTTCATTACATTCATTACATCGAGGCTCGACTATGCAAACTCACTGCTTATCGGCCTCCCCAGCTCCTCCCTCCACAGGCTGCAGATCATCCAGAACTCTGCAGCTCGTATCCTCTCCCGCACTAGGCTCCACAACTCTATTACCCCCATCCTCGCCCAACTCCACTGGCTTCCCATCACACAGAGGATACAGTTCAAGATCCTGGTCCTCACCTTCAATGCCCTCCACGGTCTTGCTCTCCACTACCTCTTCGACCTCCTAAGCCCTTACCACCCTGTTCGTTCCCTCCGCTCAGCAGGCTCTGACCTGCTTCACGTCCTCCGCCTTGCGACCTTCCAGCATTCTGCACCCACCCTCTGGAACTCCATCCCGCAGTTCCTCCATTGCGCTCCCTCCCTCGCCACCTTCAAGACCCACCTCAAGACCCTCCTCTTTGTCTGTGCTTTCGATCTCCCTGCTTCCCCCACTGCCCTCCCCCACCCTGACCCTCAGCTCGGGTCCGTAACTCTGTCTGTCCAGCGCCTTGGGACGTCCTCCCGACGTGAAAGGCGCTATACAAATGTAATTTTGTTGTTGTTGTTGTCGTCCTGCTGCAATATTGGAAAAGAGAAGGGATTTTGTTCCCCAGTGTGCTGGCCATCAATTCCCAAAATAAAAATTGGTCATAGCCTTCATGGCTGCTTGTGGGTCATTACTATATGCAAATTGGCTGCCGGGTTCGCCCACAAAAACAGTCAGTCCACTTCAGTGCTTTGGGGCGTCCTCTCGACGTGAAATGGTGCCACCCCAAATGCTATTATTCAAGCTAAACCAATATTATTGTCATTACAGATTCACCAGTAATTGGGAACAGTCTATTAAAGTCAACCTAAGTGAATCCTTTCATAATCTTACAACCTTTCGATCAGATCTCCTCTCAGTCGTCTCAACTCAAAGAGCAAAGATGAGTCCACTCTTTCCTGATTACTGTATCCACTGCTCCCTGGGTAACATCCTTGTAAATCTATGTTATACTTTCTGCACTGCCTTCCTGTGATGATCAGAACTATATAGTACTTGTTTTGGTATTATCTCTTACCTGCTCCAATTCTTTTTGTGATAATCTGAATGAGTGATTCTCTGATAAATAGCCGGAATCTATTTATTACTGTATTATAACGCCTCATAAACCTGAAGACCTTCAACCCTGAACCTTCTCAGCTCCAAGCGAAACAAGTGACAACTCCTGTCTCTCTTGGAAACTGAAACTCTCTCTTGTATTGGTGGAAATCCATTACCATGTTTAAAAGTCTCCAAACCAGACAGTTCCATGGTAATGGACTTTTAAGAATGGTAATGTATGCCACCTACAAATTCCCATGTATTGGAATGGAATGCGCACTCACTCTCTGAAGGGATGCTCCCTGTTTACCTAGTTTTGGAGATTATTCCTCCAGCCGAGGTTGGCAAGAGCCAAGGCTTGGGGACCCCAGAGTGTGCATTGGGATAACTGTTGGGAGTCTAACCAACCAAAACTGCATAGCTTGGCATTGAGAGCTCTGTCTGGCAAGCTTGTCCAGCTAGGACCACCCTACCCATGAGGGTTTTGGCTTGCAGGATTAATGGGAGCTGAGTGGGAGGATTCCCTGCTCCCAGTGACTGCTCCCCCTGCCATCCAGGGTATTGTCAGCTTGTTTATTTTGCCACCCAGTGAATTGCTTCACGTTTCTTTCCCGATATTGAACTTCCTCTGCCAGCTCTCTGCCCCTTCCGTAGGCCGGCTTATGTTTTCTCACTTCTCTTTCTCAATTCCCATTGTTCAATACATAGGAACATAGGAACAGGAATAGGCCATTCGGTCCTTTAAACTGGTTCCACCATTCTATAAGATCATGGCTGATCTATACCTCAACTCCCCTCTCTCTCCCCGCCTGCCTTCCTCTTTCTCTCCCTGCCTGCCCCTCTCTCTCTCCCTGCCTGCCCCTCTCTTTCTCTCCCTGCCTGCCCCTCTCTTTCTCTCCCTGCCTGCCCCCCTCTCTCCCTCCCTGCCTGCCCCCCTCTCTCCCTCCCTGCCTGCCCCCCCCTCTCTCTCCCTGCCTAGCCCCCTCTCTCTCTCACTCCCTGCCTGCCTCTCTCTGGATCCAGGTCCGTACCTCACATAGCAGCAGGTCCATGATGTGGAAGACCATACAAAGCGGAAACTTGGCAGTGAAGAGGGTGAGGAACCACTGAGAAGCGTACATGTGTGCCTCCAGACTCAGCTCCACAAAGTGATTGTAGAGCTCCGGCAGCAGCTCCTGGGGCAGAAATACACACACTGATCAGACACTCCAAGTACAGACAACACACATCACAATCACACTGATCCAGACATTCTAAGTACAGGCAAAACACATCGCAGTCATACTGATCGGACACTCCGAATACAGGCGACACACAACAATCACACTGATCAGACACTCCTAGCACAGGCAATACACACGCAACACAGTCACACAGATCAGACAGCCTTGGGCTGACCTGCAGCAGCCTCTCCAGCTGGTAGAACTTGCAGTGCAGATCCTCAAAATTGCTCCTGTAGAGGTTGCGGAGCCCATACTCATACATTATCTTCACCAACACACAGAACGCCTGCTCCTCCGGCATCTGTAGACAACAGAGAGATAGTCACAGTCACACTGGCACAAACACACTGGCACAATGGAAACTTACCAAGTCAGCTGTGTGTGTCATTCTGCACTCACTGGCTGCGTGTGAGCTGTGTGCAGTGTGTGTCACTCCACACTCACTGACAATGTGTGTGAGGTGTGTATAGTATTGATATAGTGATTGTCTTGTCTCAGCTACTTACGTGTAAGAGCAGAACGGCAGCGAGGAAGGACTGTCCCTGGCAATAGCCGATATCCTTGTCATAGATGGAATAAGCCTGCAGAGAGGAACCAGAATAACCAGGGTCACCACAGCCCTGCTCCCCGCAGACACACACACACAGTGACATCCCCGCTCCCCACACACACACAGTGATGTCCCCGCTCCCCACGCACACACACAGTGACATCCCCGCTCCCCACACACGTGTGCATACACAAAATGTACACTTACATGAGATTCCATGAACCACCCACCTTACAGATCTTGAAGAGCGAGTCTTGTCCATCCCCATTGGTGTCTTTGAAGTGATGATGAGTTGGGAAGGTACGGTTTATGTCTCTGGTAATAACGGACTCCTGGGGAGAATCCTGCAGGAACACAAGACAACAACTTAAATTGATACCAACAACAAATGACATTTGTATAGCACCTATCATGTCAGGAGGACATCACCAAGTGCTAGACAGTCAGGGATTTAGACCCAAGCGAGGTGGGGGGCGGTGGTGGGCTGGGAGGATAAGGGTAGGAGGGTAACCGAAGGCACAGTCGAAGAGGAGGGTCTTGAGATGGGCCTTGAAAGAGGCAAGGGAGACATATGTAAACACAATTTGTTCTACTGCCCCACCCTTTGGAACTCCATTCCACTGTCCCATCGCCTCGCCCCCTCCCTTGGCTCCTTCAAGGCCCGCCTCAAGAGCTTCCTCTTCGACCAAGCCTTTGGTCACCCTCCTACCCCTGCCCTCCACCCCTCCTGATCCAAACCCCCCAGCTCAGGTGCAAGTCCTTCACTGTCCAGCGCCTTGGAGCGTCCTCCCGGGGTGAAAGCCGCTATATAAATGAAATTTCTTGTTGCTGAGCAGTTTGCTCCCTCCCATGTCACAGTCACACTGGTACAAACACACCCGCACTGTGGTTGTGGTAACATCGGAGCTCTGCTGGCTGTGAGTGGAATGATCTCATACCTTAGTGATCAGGATCCGGTACTTCTCTAGCATAGCTTGGTTGTCATGACAACCCGCCAGCAGCTGCCAAACCTCTGCTCGCAGTGCCTCAGGGATGCTGTGCTTCACCTGCACTGAGAGCCCCTTCGGCCTGACTGACAGGTTACTGTGCCTGAGAGACAGAAAGGGAGACTGTAAGAGAGAGACAGTGAGAGAGAGAGAGAGAGAGAGAGAGAGAGAAGTGAGAGAGCGACAGTGAGTGAGACAGTGAATGAGAGCGAGTGAGAGAGAGACAGTGTGAGTAAGAGAGAGGTGAGAGCGAAGTGAGAGAGAGAGAGAGAGAGAAAGTGTGAGAGTGAGAGAAGCAGTGAAAGAGAGAGCCATTAAGAGAGTCAGGGAGAGAGAGAGACAAACAGAGAGAGTGACAGTGATAGAGTGATAGAGAGGGGGAGAGAGAGAGAGAGAGTGAGAGCATGGGGGGTAGGTTTGCTGCTCTACTTGTACCCACCATCTGTGCAGTAAGTCTCCCCAGGACTCTAGTATATTCTCTGTGCAGTCCATGGACACATCCCCAGTGCCACTGGACAATTCACTGTCACTGTCTGTAACCAAGCATCAGAACACTGAGTGACGGGAGATTACCCCTTCCCACCCCCACACACACACACACACAGCACCCCACACAGGACCCCACCCCCACACAGCACCCCATCCCCACACACAACACCCCACCCAAACACACAGCACCCCACCCAAACACACACCACCCCGCCCGCCCCTGCAGCCTCCACAACTCCACACAGAGATAGAGTGATAGAGAGACTCAGACATGGAGGGATGGCTGAAGTCACTGAGAGATGAGCAGGCATAAATCCTGGTCAATGCTCTGGAGACAATGTATAGTCATGTGGTGACCAGTTATCCACATTGGGTCAATTGGAATAAATGCACAAGCAGATAATAGGCAGATAACTGGTGTTGCCCTATACTGTGTGAGTTTTAAGATGGTTTGACCAGGCTGGGAGGGTATCCTGCGACAGTTTACTACATTAATACCTGAAACGAAGATTCAACTGTGCTGAGAGGTGAGAGGTGCTGACGGGAGCCAAGCAGGAGAGCCTCTGTCTTGTCGACATTCAACTGGAGAAAGTTAGCTCTCATCCAGGAATTGATGTCTGACAGGTAATCCATCAGAACAGCAGCGGTCCTGGAGTTGAGGATGGAGGCAGGGAGATAGCGTTGGGCTTCATCCACATACATGTAGAAGTTAACCCTATGCCTGTGAGTGACATTGCCGAGTGGGAGCACGTAGATATTAGAGGAGAGGAGCAGGGACAGAGGCCTGAGGAACGCTGCACATGACGGCAGATATGAAGTGCAGACTTTGGGAAAGGTAAGACAGAAAAGACAGAACCGTGAAGGTGGAGCTGAGAATGAAAGTGGTGGAGAAAGACAGAATAGTCGCCAGTGTCAAAGGCGGTAGGTAGAGAGGTCAAGAAGGATGGCAAGGCAGAGCGCCTGGTCATAGATGGAGAGAATATGATTGGTGGGCAGTCTCGAGGCTGTGGGCAGCGCACAAGCAGGATTTGAGGAGCTCAACAAGGGAGCGAGTGGTGGGAGAGGAAAAAGCAAACCTGGGAGGCTAAACCTAAGTCTAATTTCATGTCTTTGCCTGACAATTAATCACATTATGAAGTTGTTTAGTTCAAAAACTAAAGAAAAAAATCCTGCTTCTTACCATCTTGTGCCTGACCAAGGTCCTGTGAGCAGCGTGGAGTCTGTGTGCACCCCGGGGAGGTGGGGGGCTCATCCCACTCGCACTGTCTCTGCAGTGAAACCACCTCATACACGGCATCGCCTGCCCCCACTCGCTCTGCAGAGCTCTGCAACTGCAACACAACCTCTGGTTAGTCACCACACACATAGCCCCCCACAGCACTGCTCACCATACACCAGCCCAGCCACAACACTGCTCATTGCTTACCACAAACACCAGCCACAGCTGTACCTGTCTGGGCTGCACCTGTCTGAGCTGTACCTGTCTGAGTTGGACCACAAAGGCCTCGCTGAAAGTTTTTCTGCTGAAATACCAGAAGCGCTCATTGGTGGGGTACACGCGGACCCCAGGCTCCAGCAGGAAGCGGACCGGCTCCACCACCTCCTTAATCACCAGATCCACCGCCACCGTCAGGTACACACGGGTGTCTGAGAGAGAAACACGTCACACATTGTACACACTTGTGAGTGTCCGAGAGAGAAACATGGGTCATGCGTGCATGTGTCAGAGAAACTACAGGACACATAGTGTACAAGTGTGGTGGGTGGGGGGGCTGGGTGCTGTACGGAGCTATCAGTGAACTGCAGAGAGCAGCACTGTGCACAGAGCGGCTGGTACACTGTGTGGTTGCTGTGTACATGACTTTGGGCTCTCAGTACCTTTTGGAGTCTCCTCGTTCAGCGACTGGAAAGCTGGCGTATTCGGATCCCAGGCTCCGGTGATCACATAACACTTCCCATCAGCACTCATTCCCATGGACTCCTGAATAAAGTATAAAAACATAGTAAATGCCAGCCCCAGTGTGAGGTCACACTTGCCACCCTCCCTCCCCGTGTTCCTAACACACGAACATGGGGCCATTCAGCCCCTCCAGCCTGTTCCACCATTCTATTAGATCACGGCTGATCTGTACCTCAACTCCATTCACCCGACTTTGCTTCATATTCTTTGATACTCTGACCCAAATCTATCCACCTTAGTCTTGAACATTTCAATGGATCCAATGGATTTTGGGGGAGCGAGTTGCAGATTTCCTTTACCCTTTGTGTGAAAAGTGCTTCCTCATTTCACTGGCACACAAGCAGGCAGTGTGAGGGCACAATAAATGGCCTGGCTCTAATTTTAAGATGATACCGCCTTGTTTTGGATTCCCACAAGAGGAATAGTTTCTCTGTATCTACCCCAGCCTACCTACTGTAAGAGAGAGCTAGTTTGTGGTTGATGGTATGTGAGTTGTGGTTCCCTGTATCTGTACAATCACCCTGCAATTAACAGCCCGTGGACTCACCATATCCAGTAGGTACATGTCGCTGTTCCGCACCTGTCGCCCTGCACCCAGCAATAGCCCGAAGCAACTGTGAAACAAACCAGACAGACAGCACTGTAGAGCCAGCATACAGTATACACTGCCTATAAATGTGCACACTGCATGTACAACATGTACAGCATACAGTGTACACAGTACACACCATACAGTGTACACAGTATACACATTGTGTAGAGCATACAGTGTAATCAGGACATGCATGGTATACAGCATAGTCTACACAGCATACACATCGCACAGAATTGACACTGAAACCACAGCATAAACAGCACACAATGCAAAAATAGGGCATGGAGCATACACAGCTCACAGTGCATACACAGCACATAGTGTATACACAGCTCACACAGTGTATAAACAGCACACAGCATATATGGCCCAGAGCGCATACACAGCACAGCATACACAGCCAGCAAAGCACACACAGCATATAGTGCATAGACAACCTGCAGAACACACACTGCACACACTGCATACGTACAGTGCATACACAGCCCACAGAGCACACATAGAACACAGTGCATACACAGCTCTCAGTACATACACAGCACATACACAATCCAAAGTGCATACACTATGAAGATGGGCGGCAGGTGGAGGGGCAGCAGGGGGATGGGTGGTGGGAACTAATGGGAGGAATGTTGTTTTGAATCTGTATTAAATAACTCGATCTGCAGAGTTTCACCCACAAAGTCAATGGTAGGAATGTTCATCAGCTGGCGTGTGGACACAGAGAGTCTGTTCAACCACAATGCCACCTCATTGAAATCTGCATCCTAACTTGATTTGTCCAGATCAGTCAGTAAACTGCAGTTTATTAGATATTGGGAGGAATTTTAGAAAAAAATTCCACCCAACTTTATTTGTAAACAACTACCTCAGCCCCAAACCGCTGCTGTTCCAGCCTCGCTTTGGCAAACCCTCTCACCGAGTATCAAAGAGAACCAAATGTCAATCTCTGGATTGCACCTCACCCCATGTCACAGCCTCAAGTCCCAATATCTATGTCTCCAGTGGGGAGCGAGCACCAGCACAGACTCGATGAGAGCAGGAAATGGGGTTAGAGTAGAGAGCTCCAGTGGGGAGCGAGCACCAGCACAGACATAACGGGGAGAGAGTAGGGGAATGGGGTTAGAATAAATAGCTCCAGTGGGGGAGCGAGCACATTTTTGGGTCAGCTGGGTGTCTGACACATACGGAAACCCATCACCATGCTTAAGAATATCCAAACTAAGAACTTCATGCATCCCAACTACACATGAAGATTCAGGAGATACATTGTTAGAATGCGCACTTTTTTCTTGGAGGGATGCATCCTGCTTACCTAATTCCGGAAAGTATTAGGCGCAGGTTGGCAAGAGTCATGGCTTGGGGACCCCAGACTGTGTGTTGGGGTAACTGCTGGAGTCTAACTAGTTAAAACAGCATAGCTTGCCATTGATATCACTATCTGGGACTGCGATTAGAGAGCTCCAGTGGGGAGCAAGCACCAGCACAAACACGATGGGGAGAGAGCAGGGAATGGGATGAGAGCACGAAGCTCTCATCGCATTCACACACACACTCTCACTCAACATACACTCAACCCACTCAACACTCACTCACTCAACAAACACTCACTCACCACACGCACCACACTCTTACTCTGAGGTTCAGAAGCTAAGGCAGGAGTCAAGGGATTTGTATTTGATGGTAAGGATAATGATCGTTTCAGACCAGAGGAGCCAGAGAAGCCTGGGGAGGATTGTGTAATGGTGTGTAGAGTGTGTGCGGGGTACGAGGAGGTGGTGGAGGATTGGGTCATCACGTATGGAGTGTGAAAGAAGGCAGTGGAGGATTGGATGATGGTGAGGATTCGGTGATGGACATGATTGGGTGATGGCGTGTGGAGGATGGTGAGAAGGTGGTCGAGCATTGGATGAGCTGGAGCTTTAGGATATTGGAGCTGGGGAGAGCGGCAAATAGAAATCAAAACGAAATAGGAAGAGTTTGGTTACCGTTCCACAGCCAGCTCTCTGTTGGATGTCTGCTGCACATTGATAAACACTTTCTTCTCAACGCTCTGTCGCAATTTAAAGTACAGCTTCTCTCTGTCCTTTGGCACTGCACTGTGTACACAACAGTCAAACAGTTAGTGTGCACACCCCCTCTGTTGTGAATATAAAGGTAGTGTAGAAAACAATTAAACCTATTTACAGTTACAGATAATAATAATAATTTATGTTTATGTAATTATACATGTTCTTTATTATTTATTATAGGGATTTCCATTTAATAATATGTAATTAATAATAATACTTACATTCGTCTCAAAGCACTTCACAGAATATACTACAAAGTGGATTGACTGTATATTTTTCTGGACGAAAACGTGGCAGCCAATTGCACACAGCAGCATTTTGAGTGACAAAAAATATTATTTTTTAAAAATTGTTTTTGAAGGTATTATTACCCCCGGAAAGCAATCCACCAATCAACTAACAACCCGGTTCTACGTACTGCTAAGTAAACGGAGGCGTGTGGAATAAGGAAAATTGCCTAAGGTTTCACCCCATCCGGGAATCAAACCCAGGTCCTCTCGGCTTGCAGGTTTAACAGGAGCTGAGTGGGATGATTCCCTGTTCCCAGTGACTGGGCTGCCCTTCCAAGTCCTGCTGATGAGCCAGGCTGGGCTGTGCTGTCATCGGCAGTGCCCTGGGATACTGCCTGGCTCAGGAACGGGACTAGAGACCACCACAGAGGGCTGGCTCGATTCTGACATTCCGTTGCCAGGCTCGTCACTTTGGAGCCAGTTCAGCTCCAAGAAGACCCCTCTTAATCAAACTTCATCTGACCTGAAGTTGCCTTTCCCATCGTCCTCCTTGATTTCGAGGCACACTGTGAAGTTGTACATGTCATTTTCAGGAGCGAGTACGAACGTGTCCTTTATTTCTGTAGAAGGTTTGGAGGCTCGGAGGAAGGCAGTGGAAAAGCTATAGAGAATTCGACTGACCTGGGAAGAGAGGACAGACAGAGAATGGAGTAAGATTTCTTTCATATTGTAACACATCTCCATCAGTAACCACATACTGCATTACTGTCCAACGGGCGGCGGACGTGAAGCCGGCCGGAGCCCGCTGAGCGGAGGGGGCGACAGTTTGGTATGGGGGTAGGAGGTCATAAGAAGTTGGGAGGAGCAAGACCATGGAGGGCTTTGAAGGTGAGTACCAGATCTTGAACTGGATCCTCTGAGTGATGGGGAGCCAGTGGAGCAAGGCGAAGATGGGGGTGACAGCGTAAGTTGGTGAGAGCAACCAAATGTTTTTTTGGGGATGGATTATTACTCCTGGAAAGCAATCAACAATAATAATCGGGTTCCTACTTACTGCTAGGTAAACAGAGGCTTGAAGTAACTTAAAGTTTGAAGTAAGATCGGGGTAAAGGCAAGTGATGTGGCAGAGGTTAAGAAAGACATTCCTGGTCAGGAATCAAACCTGATGACAAGATTGTGCACAAGTTGAGGGAGTCTGAAGGATAGGCAGGGATGGTTAAAGAGACAGTACAGTACAGGAGCCAAGGAGGATGGTTCTGTCTTCTCTGAGTACTTACAGCTTCTTTGATTTCACAGCAGAATACATGAACCTGGAAATGATCTGACCCCCAGCAACGTTCAGTGAATGCAAAGCAGTCGCTTTCGGCAGTTCCTTCCAGGCCTCGCACACAGAACAAGACTTTATATATGGGAAAGGCAGCGATCTCGGTTTCTGTAGCCTGGTCTATTATTCTGAAGTCAAAAAAGAGATTGCGAGTCAGTGACAGTTGTGCTTGTCACAGTTGTAACAAATGACACTTTCTGACTTTGTGAAATAATACTAATCCTCTCATTTAATATAGTGCCTTATCACATCATTGAGACTTTTCAAAGTGCTTCACAGGATATGCTGTATATTTTGTGGGTGAAATGTGGCAGCTGATTGCATATAGTAGTCATGGATTAAGTGACCAATTTTTTTGGGAGGTATTATTATCTCTGGAAAGCGATCTGCCAATCAACTAACAAGTAGGTTGCGACTTACTGCTAAATAACAGAGGCGTGTGGAGCTGTGTGGAGACAGAGAGAAGACAGGCAGACAGGGAGGTGTTGACAGTGAGGTGATATAGGCAGACAGCGAGGAGACAGATAGACAGTGAGGTGATGACGGGCAGACAGTGATTACCTGACGGAGCCCTCTGCGATGTTCGGCACGTAGAGAGTGACATGGAGCAGGACATGGGCCTCGGCCCGCAGTGTGGCCATGGCCTGCAGAGCCTGGGTCTGGCTGCGGGGGGAGCTCACTGTCTTGCTCCCCAGGTAACTCAGCTTGTTAAACAGCACACTCTCCTCCTCCCCAGCCGCAGAGCTCCTCCTCACCTCCTCTCCGCCTGACAATAACACACCAGAGTTAAAGACTCATCCCTAACAACCCGGGATAGAGCCTGGCATACAACCCCCTCCCCCTGCCAGGGCAGAGCACCTTCAGCCCCCGGCAGCACATACCCCACAGCTCACACCACAGCTTTACACCACAGCTCACAGCAGACATCACGCTGGGTATGGGCTCAACGAGACTCTTACCTGTGGTGGTGTTGGAGTCCGAGGGCTGCTGTCTCTCCCCCACAGGCTGCCCAGTCACTGCCACCTCCCCCTCAGTGCTCGCTGCATCATTCTGAGCCTCCTCCAGGGCATTCCCGTTACCACTGATCTGTGGAGAGGGAAACATGTGTTGTAATAGTGCAGGTGTGAGGCTGGGTGTCCGTGGTGTGAGGCTGGGTGTCGGTGGTGTGAGGCTGGGTGTCCGTGGTGTGAGGCTGGGTGTCCGTGGTGTGAGGCTGGGTGTCCGTGGTGTGAGGCTGGGTGTCCGTGGTGTGAGGCTGGGTGTCCGTGGTGTGAGGCTGGGTGTCCGTGGTGTGAGGCTGGGTGTCCGTGGTGTGAGGCTGGGTGTCCGTGGTGTGAGGCTGGGTGTCCGTGGTGTGAGGCTGGGTGTCCGTGGTGTGAGGCTGGGTGTCCGTGGTGTGAGGCTGGGTGTCCGTGGTGTGAGGCTGGGTGTCTGTGGTGTGAGGCTGGGTGTCCGTGGTGTGAGGCTGGCTGGTGCAAGGCGGAGGTTACCTCTGCGCTGGTGGAGGACGAATCCTCTGGTTGCTGGATGAGGATGAACTCCTCACTGTTGAGTGTGGAGACGGAGTCTGAGGAGCCGCTCACCCTTCTCAGAGATCCCTGCTCCTCCATGTTCAGCTCCTGTGGTCACCGTCTGTGGCCGTACGAGGCTGAAACCACAAACAGTCGGCCAGAAGTAAGAGCACAGGTTATACCGGCCCCCGGCGCCCACTGCAATGCGAGCTTGTCTCAGCGGGAGGCATGCTGGCCTCTCTATCCCAATCCCAAACCCTCTGCTATGGTTAATCTTCCAGTGTTCACCGTGTCATTCTTAAGTTACCTGGGAGTTCAATCAGCTCGGCCGGATAACCTCTTCTTTACCTGGGACACTCTTAGGCATTTCCACATTCTGTCAAATAGAAGAAAATGTTTCATTCTTCAGCAATTTGCAAGCGCTGGTGTTAGTGAAGGGGTGAGGTAACAGTCTGTTATATCTATTTGTGAAGCCTTGGTGCTGGAGCAGGCAGGCGTAGGCGCACTGGGCAGAGAGTCTAACAATACAACTCTGGGCTACACATTTGGCTGATGTGGAGAGAGGCTCCGTCAGCCTGACTCAGCCGCTCACACTCTCACCTCTGAATCAGAAGCTTCAAACTCCACGGTGCGACTTTGAGTTCACAGTACAGGCTGATACTCCAGGGCACTGTCCTTGGGATGAAGTGTTGAAATGAGATACCGTCTATGCTGGTCTAACTAAAGATCTTATGGTGCTACTTAGGAACCTCGCCTTGTCTGTCTACAATAAAGTCAGTACACTTTATAGCAATTACAGTGAAAGGTTATCGACCTGAAACATTAACTCACTTTCCTCTCTCTATTGATGCTGCCTGACCTGCTGCTTTTTCCCAGCGACTTCTATTTTTATTTCAGATTTCCAACATCCGCAGTATTGGCCTAGAGCAATTACAGTGAAACGCTTGGAGACCTTTTGAGACGATACGAGGCTATAAAAAGAAAAGTTCCTTTTCTCTGCTGCCCGGACCCATTCTATGTAAATCCTTTATATCCAATTGCAAATGTTCAAAGCTCTCACTGTAACATTGATCCAAACCAATAACTTACCCACTGACACTGATGTGTTACTGCAGCAAAACAGTCACAAACAAACAGGGAGAGAGACTGAAAACCAGGAACTCAGCAGCTAAGACGTGTACAGTCCACACCCACAGCTCCATGCAGTCATTCTGTTCCACCCAAACCCACAAAAACTGTTGGTGTCTGCAGGTCTGAGCATGGCAGGACACTACACCCCCCTCTGCCGGATAGCTAAATAACTGCAATGTGGAATTGTAATAACACAGCAATGTGGGAGCTGTTCAGCCTTCAAACCTGGGTCTGCCTTTCATTAGACTCTGGCAGAACGTTTCATCCCATTCCCTCAGCATGTAGGCCTGAATAATAATCCCTCCAAAAACCAAAAACAATAATAAATTGGTCATTTTCAATCCACGACTGTTTGTGGGACATTGCTGTGCGCAATTGGCTGCCGCGTTCGCCCACAAATATACAGTCAATTGACTTTACAGTGTGTTCTGTGAAGCGCTTTGGGACGTCCTCCCGACGTGAAAAGCGCTATATCAAATGCGAGGATTATTATTATTATTATTATTATAGCCACAGGCTGGGTATGTGCTGAGTGTGTAACACACTTCTGAGAGCAACTGGGGCTGTTTCACTGCATCAGGAAGAGTGAAAAGACTGAAGAGAGGTGTCAAAAGGTCAGTCAGTGAGGCGGTGCAGTGTGTATTGGGGTATAATGGAGTGTAGAAACACATAATATTACAGCACCGAAGGTAGGCCATTCGGCCCATTGTGCCTGTGCCGGCTCTTTGGAAGAGCAACCCATTCAATCCGACTCCCTGCTCTTTCCCCATATCCTGTGTTGGGGCGCTGTGCGTGTGTATCTTGTGTGTGAGGGGGGCTTGTCTGTGTGAGAGGGGGAGGGCTGTGTGAGAGGGGGAGGGCTGTGTGTGTGAGGGAGGGGAGGGCTGTGTGAGGGGGACTGTGTGTGTGGGGGACTGTGTGTGTGTGCGTGTGAGGGGGCTGTGGGGGCTGTGTGAGGAGGTTGTGTGTGTGAAGAGGCTGTGTGGAGGAGCTGTGGGGTGGCTGTATGTGTGTGGGGGGGCTGTGGGTGTATGTGGGGGGGGGCTGTGGGTGTATGTGGGGGGGGTTGGGGTGTGTGTGGGTGTATGTGGGGGGTGTTGGAGGGGGTGTGGGGCTGTGGGGGGGGTGTGGGGGCTGTGGGTGTGGGGGGGGTGGTGGTGGTGGGGTGTGGGAGGGGGTGTGGGGAGGGGGGTGTGGGGGGGGGTGGGGCTGTGGGGGAGGGGGTGGGGGCTGTGGGGAGGGTGTGGGGCTGTGGGAGGGGGTGTGGGGCTGTGGGGAGGGGGTGTGGGGGCTGTGTGGGCTGTGGGAGGGGGTGTGGGGCTGTGGGGGAGGGGTGTGGGGCTGTGGGAGGGGTGTGGGGCTGTGGGGGGGGTGTGGGGCTGTGGGAGGGGGTGTGGGGCTGTGGGAGGGGGTGTGGGGCTGTGGTGGGGGCTGTGGGGAGGGGGTGTGGGGCTGTGGGAGGGGTGGGGGCTGTGGGGAGGGGTGTGGGGCTGTGGGAGGGGGTGTGGGAGGGGGTGTGGGGCTGTGGGGGGGGGTGTGGGAGGGGGTGTGGGGCTGTGGGAGGGGTGTGGGGCTGTGGGGTGGGGGCTGTGGGGCTGTGGGGAGGGGGTGTGGGGCTGTGGGAGGGGGTGGGGCTGTGGGAGGGGGTGTGGGGCTGTGGGGAGGGGTGTGGGGAGGGGGTGTGGGAGGGGTGTGGGGGCTGTGGGTGGGGGCTGTGGGAGGGGGTGTGGGAGGGGTGTGGGGGCTGTGGGAGGGGGTGTGGGGCTGTGGGAGGGGCTGTGGGGGCTGTGGGAGGGGCTGTGGGGCTGTGGGAGGGGCTGTGGGGCTGTGGGAGGGGGTGTGGGGGCTGTGGGAGGGGTGTGGGGCTGTGGGGAGGGGGTGTGGGAGGGGGTGTGGGAGGGGGTGTGGGGCTGTGGGAGGGGGTGTGGGGGCTGTGGGAGGGGTGTGGGGCTGTGGGGAGGGGGTGTGGGAGGGGGTGTGGGAGGGGGTGGGGGCTGTGGGAGGGGGTGGGTGTGGGGAGGGGCTGTGGGGCTGTGGGAGGGGCTGTGGGAGGGGCTGTGGGGCTGTGGGAGGGGTGTGGGGCTGTGGTGGGGGCTGTGGGGTGTGGGAGGGGGTGTGGGGTGTGGGGGGGCTGTGGGGAGGGGGTGGTGGGGCTGTGGGAGGGGGTGTGGGAGGGGTGTGGGGGCTGTGGGAGGGGTGTGGGGCTGTGGGAGGGGGTGTGGGAGGGGTGTGGGGCTGTGGGGGGGGTGTGGGAGGGGGTGTGGGGCTGTGGGAGGGGGTGTGGGGGTGTGGGAGGGGGTGTGGGAGGGGGTGTGGGGCTGTGGGGAGGGGTGTGGGGCTGTGGAGAGGGGGTGTGGGGCTGTGGGAGGGGGTGTGGGGTGTGGGGAGGGGGTGTGGGGTGTGGGAGGGGGTGTGGGAG